GTTCAGAATTTCTTGGATAAACTGGATTTTCTTTGTTTCTTTAGATGCCAAACATCCTGACCCTGGCTATGAAGAAATTTCAAGGCAATTTCTCCAAACTCCTCTTTCAAGACTTTGTCTAGAGACAGGAAGTTGAAGACCATTGGGGAAAAAAATATTAAAATTGTGGCCAGCACATTGCTAAGAATTAGAGCAAGTAGGGGCCTGAGGAAATCAATGTATAAAGGTCTTCCCACCAGCCCTAGACCAGTGTGATCATAGCATCAGTCTGAAGCTCTCTCTGTGGTCCTCTTCTTGGGATTATTTCTGTGTATTCACAAACACCTGAAAGCCACCCCTCTTAGAGTTTTTTGTCCATGCGTCGTTCCACAGCTTGTAGCAATAGCTCTGAGTACTGTTCCAGTAAAGCTAGTGTCTGCTCATCTCCCAGACTCTTGGGACTTGGTAGATTGGCACCACATCCCTCATTCAGTGGGCTAGTGGTATCTTGTGGCTTCGCCAGTACCTCCTTAACCTTTGGAAGCTCTTCAACATCCTTCAGAGAGTCTAATTCTTTCTTCATTGAGGAGAACGTTTCTGTCAGGAGGCCTGCTATTTTATCTTTGTCAGTAGAAGACTCCATATCATTTAACACCTGAAAATAGAGAGGGAAAATTAAAAAAAGGAATGCACTGGGGTTTAGGCAGAGCATGCAAAATCCAGAGGCATTACTGCAATAGGATAGAGATGGGAAACACATTTTTGGGCAGTGTTTCCCTTACATTGGGCCTAAGGAGGTGCTATGTTTCCCAGCTGCAGCTCAGAGCCACCGTCTCCTTTTCTTCCTGTCTGCCAGATGCAGCTGGTCACAGGAACAGAGCAAGGTCAGAGAGTTAATGCAAGCGCTAAGGCCAGAGCTGGAGAGGACCACACGGCAGAAGCTCACTGCAGAAGTCTCAAGCTCATGACAGAAGACTTGACAGATCAGTGCTAGGCAGAGAAACGAAGAGCTGTTACATTGCTCTGCATGTAACTCTGGCCTGGCAGAGAGGGACAGGTGAGTGGCTGCATGTTCCCTCTCACAGCTGGAGTCCCATAGCATCTCACATTTGCTAATCCTTTTCCCAGGCATCAAAGACAGAGAACAGATGGGGATAATAAAACTTAAAGCTCCTATAATATTCCGTATCTCTGAAGCACTGTATAAATATTAACTAATTCCCTAATACTCCTTTGAAAAAGGAGTATACTGTTATCTTCAGTTTACAGATAGACTAAACAGACTGAAAAGTGAATTGATTTGCTCAGTGTACCACAGCAAGCCACTGGAAAATTCAAAAGCTGGAAATCAGGAGCTCCTGCCTCCCCGGATCAAGATTAAGGTGCAGTCAAGTGGACAACCAGGCAGCTGTGTCACTGAACACCCAGCCAAGAGTACACCTTGAGCCAGCAAACACATACACTCCTGTAAGAGAGCCCATGTCTGACGTCACTCACCATGCGGTAGAGATGAATGGCTTTGCGCATGCTGTCCTGGAGCTCAGATACCACGTGCTCACACTGCTCTACACTGATGCACGAATCTGAAGGGGAGGAAAAAATAAAAACCTAAACTAAGGCACAGACACACTCCAATATCTGTGATCTCACAGTTGGGTAAGAAAACATTTTTTTAAATACATATTTGAAAGACCATGCGCACACAATTCTCATGCAACTTTCAGGGCTGGTTTGAGCCAATCATTAAACAGGCAAGTTCTACATGAGCTTTCCTTCATACTACCTAGAGATGCTGCTTGCTTCAAACATGCCTATTTTTCCAGTCTTTAGCCTCTCCAAAGTCAGCAATGGTTTTTCTCAGATTGTACATTTTCGTTAGTGTCCAGGACGGTCACAGATTACCCATGCCATTCTCAATTATAATTAAAGTCAAGTTTGAGTGAAGGCTTCCAGTAGCAAAAGGGACTGATCTGAGGAGCCTCTAATTTAGCCTCCACCTAGTCAGAAAGCTACACACTCCCCCTCATGTATCCTTCTGCACAGTATACAACTAAGTGCTGAGGATGAAGGATTATACTGAATTATTACAGTGTTCTCCAGGGAGGACTGAAGTCCAGAGGAGCGCTGACAAACAAACTCAATCACAACAGAATCACATTTCTGAGCAACCCAGGATATGCACTGCTGATACACTGTAATTCGAAAATGAAAAATAAAAGCAGGCAACTGAGGGACACCATCTTTTGCCTGCCCCCATCAGATATTATCTCCAAAGAATCTGAGTTGAAGGCCTGCAGTGTTATAATAAAATAAACACTTTCATGAGTTAGACATAAACCATGGACAAAGACATACACACACACACAATCTGCAGTTATCCTCAATTTGAAAAGGTCTGGAAAAGGCTATTCAACTTCCTTTAGTTACCTAAAAACAAAACTTGGTCACATTAGCACTATTATTTCTGCAATTCTAAGAACATAATTTCTGAATAGGCTGGAGGGGACCTCAGCTAATTTTATGAATACATCTAGATGATGTATAAAGAAATACAGCCAGAAAAACATCTATCTATACATAAACAAACACATCTAGAATAAAAAAGGGGCATGAACAAATCCTTCCATCTGCATTTTTGGTTCCCGAGTCACTCAACCTTGCAGAGTTTGAGCACAGTGGGCTTCAGTACAGTTCGATTCTTGCCTTTTTTTTTTTTTTTCCTGTCCCCCTTCTCCCCTCTTTTTGTTTTAAACCCAGTTGTTTCTTCTCATGATCGTTTCTGGATTTCTCCTCTGATCATGCTTTTTATGCTGGTCTCCAGCTCTGTGAGCTGCCAGCCTGGAGAAAGGTCACAAACATAACATAAATGAGTAACAGGCATTTTCTGCCTCTTGGGTGTGTGGAGCAGAGCTTTTCAGAAACCACAGAGAATATTAAACAGCAACAGTATTAAACACATCTATAGCATTTTAACTGTAGATGTCAAAATGCTTTAACAAGAACAATTAAGTCTCTTTATCTGCAGCTGTTATACAGGCAGGAAAATGGAAGGACAGAAAAATTAAGTGGAAACCCAAAGTCGCAGAACAGGTCTCTGTCAACCCTACAGTTCTAATCTGAACTGCCACACTATGATCCACAGAAGGCACAGTAAATTGTTCACAGCAATAGCCAACTTTGATCTAAACAGCTTTCCCAGCATCTACCACTAAAAATTTGAGGAAACTTAGCCTGCAAGAAGCTGAAGGCTGACAGCTGTCTGCTGAGGCAAAAATAAAAAAAAAAAAGGGGGCAAAAAAAAAAAAAAATGTAGCTTGATTCCCAAGACTAGAAGAAAAAACTCAGCCTAAAGCACACAGACACCTGGACTGTTACTCCTTTGCCGTACAATGTGATTGCACAGCTCCAGGCTGCATCTGCTGTTGGAGGAAACCTCACCCTGTGGGGGTAGGGTCTGAAAGTTTCAGGCGCACTTGCTGTTCTACAGAGCAGCTATGGTCTAAGAACAGCAGGTCCCTCAGACAAACTACCACATTTCCTGTTTTACATAAGAGTGCTTCAATCTTAGGGCGTTTGATCCCTCTAGAAATGCAGAAAGAAAAATAACAGTGCATCGAAAACAGATTATCCCTCTGCAACGCTTCAGTGCAAAAATACTGCTCTTAACCATTGTGATGAATGGTGGAACAGCCTGGTGGCACAAAAAGTAATTGAACAGAGGATTACAGAGGTGTCCCTTCTCAAATATGAATAAGAACAACATAGCAAAAGGGATTAAAAACTGTACACTGTATAGCCCCCTGAAGGTACAAGGTATCAGTGCAGTGGTTAACAGCCAGCTTCCTACTGCACGACTCAGCTAAGTATTTCAGGAAGGTCTATTTCCTTTCAGGTTGTGACACATAAGAAAAACCCCTGGAGGGGTTTTAGTCCCGCAGCACATGCTGCGGGACTAAACTGTGTCTTCTTTGTCACTGGAGGTTTTCCTGCCTTCAAGGGCAGGATTTTTGCTTCAGTTTGAAGTTACTTGCTACGTTCCATTTTTGAAGTACCTTAAACCAGGGCCTGTAACAGATACAAAAGCTGTTTTCAGCAGGTAAAACAGTTTCCCACCTCGTACCTTTTTCTCCAAACTAAATATAATTCAAAAATTAATCCATGTTCTTTATGCTCAAACCCAAAAGCTAGGCCTGCACATGCATTGCATACCCAGTTTGCAGATGCCCTTAAAGTGGAGTTATAGCAGCACAGAGACCTTCTCACTCTCACAGGTGGCTACAGCAAGGAACTCACCTTGGTCAAGCCTTATTTCATGAGAAATAAACATATGCAAACACTTCTGGACCCTGCACACTTGCACATTAATAAAGTAAAAGCCTGAGCTGCCTGGCATAACTTCCCTGTCACTATTATCTGTGCTTGCTAGGTTCAGCTAGCACATGTTGGCCTGTACCTTCATCTGCTGGTCAGACACGCTCTGAGAAGGGCACAGGGATGTTACCTGCACACTCATGGGGATTCCCAGCACGTCAGCGTTTAGCATTGAACAGAAAGAGGTTTGAGCCCCTACAGGTAACATAAGACTAAAAACACGAGCATTCTGAGGTCTGCAAAACACTCAGCTAAAAAGGACCTAAAAAGACATAAGACCCAGAGGAAATGGAAATTAAAGACTGAGAAAAAGATGTCAGGTTGAAGAAGTGTCTCACCATTGAGGGGATGGCTTATGGAACGAGACAGGTGCAGACAGGACGAGACAGGCCAGAAGCTGGACGTAAAGAAATGTGATGGGATCGTGAGGCGGTTCACAAAGACAGGAGACAGAAGGGGGAAGATAAGAGATGGGTATCCATGCACACCTGAGACCTGTGCCAAGGCAGTTATAGATGTAGGAGACCTCGGCCTGATTGGGTCTAGTGGGCAAAGTCCAGGTTGGTTGTCTAGCACACAGGCGATGCCGGTGATCCTCTCCCTGCACCTGGGCAGCGTACCCTCAGGAGACCTTAAGTGCTGGCCCTCTGACAACTCCCTCAGTTTTGGATTAGTGACCTCTGGCTCATCCTGGCAACCTGTCCTTGAGACTGGACTGTCCACTGGGCTCTCCTTAGGAAGTCCTGTTAGGATCTCTCTACTGGGAACCAGAGACCCAGCAGTTTGATTCTCCTTTTTGGAGGTTCGGACTTCAGGAAAAGAGGGTTTCTTTTTACAGGCCCCAGAAGGTGACTGTGGTGACTGTGGCTCAAGCAGGGTTTTTGTTTTGGTAGTGGGTGAGAAGGAGGCCAGCGTGGGTCTATCAGGCAATGGCTTGGGAATGTCAAGAATCAGATGTGCTCGGTTTGATGATGCCAACTTGCTGTGGAAGGACTTGGGAGACAAGCAGTTTACAACTGGCTGAAGTGCTGGCTTCACCGGAACATTTTCTTTCACTGGTAGCTTAATCTTCTCACCATCTGCTGTGGAACTAAACTGTGTCTTCTCTGCCACTGGAGGGCTACTCCTCCCATCAGTCAACATTTCGGTGGAGTAACCAAGGTACAGATTCTCCCCTACAGATATGCTCCTTGACATCTTAGCCCGGAAGCTGGTTGTGGGGTTCATGTAGGATTTTGGTTTTGCAGCCCTGACATCTTTGGCCAGCAGAGCACCAGATCCATCCATCTTCAACACACTGGCTGATAACACCCTGCAATTGTTAGGTCTGGGATCCTTCTCCACCACTAAAAGAGTCTGAGGACGCTGCTTGGCAGAGGATATCACTCCAGGACCCTTATCTGTGAAAATTAAACAGACAAACATACCAAAAATAGACAAGAGCCTGCAGTGAATTCCAAAATCGGAAAGAAACAGAGCTGCTCCAGCCTATGTGCCTCAGCTCAGCCCCTGGGTGAGGTGTACAGAACCACTACTTCAGGTTAATATCACCAAGCCTCAACAGTTTGCTTTTTCGCCCATTCCCTCATCCTGCTCACACACTGCTGCTTACCTGACGAGGGAGATTTGTTGTTAAAGTGTATGGCCAGAAGACCTCAGACCACTGTGACCATTAACTGAGAGGCCAGAGGAAGCAGGCAAAAACTCATATATGATGTTGCAGTGATAAGGTTTGGGTTTTTTTAAACAAACTGAGTGCTTATTGATGGTTCATGAGATGATTGTTTCAAAAATGGAGTTCTTTCACACAGAGGGCATGGATACAGTAAACACCCTGTTACTGTCTCCTCCTACCCTCTTTCTCTCCTCCCCACCCTGGGGAGCTTCAATCTTGGCCTGGAGCAACCACCCACAGCAAGAAAGAATTTCTTTGCAAATAGTGCATTACACCCTTGGCATTGCTTCTCCCACAGCTGCCGGACAAATATCAGAGACTGATAATCAGGAGACCAGCATCTGCATTACAAATTAAAAATGTTTTCCCTTGACAGGCTAAGACTTAGAAGACATGCAAAGCCTTCGGCTCAGAATGTAGAAAGACATAAGCTTAATTTAAACCTCTACTCAAGCTCAAATCTCCCCATTTCATTCTTGGGTTTATACCATCATTCCAACCTGTGTCCTTACCCTCATGAACGAGGTCATGAACTGACTGTGCCTTTCTCATCACTGCATTCACAGGGCCTTCTGGAAATGATGCAACAACCCGTCCAGGAGCCATACCAACTCTGCTGGCCTCCAAAGCTGATCTGCGTTTTTTCTGGACATAAACGGCCTGATTTGAAGTTATACTTTCCAGGAGCTGGCTGTTCTCCGATGCATCACCAGGATGGCTGCTGCCATTTTTCAACAGGTCTGGCATAAACCGATTGGTCTGGGTTGGCGGCTCGATGGGCTTTGAATCCAGTATCAGATTTGATGAAGAAAGTGACAATCGTCTGGAGAACACGATAAAGAAATCCCAGTTAAAACAAGTAAATATGTTGCCCTGCACAAACAGGCACACGCATTAAGCCAGTTTCTCTGGGATAAAGAGCCCTTCCCTGGATTGTTTTTAAGTCAAAACTGCCCTAGGCCGTTACCAGTTCATTCTACTTATCCCTGGAAGCACTGGTCTTCAGGCATTTGACCTTAGGCAGCACGATCACAAATAGCATTGGGTCACTGTTTCCAGGGAGGATACTGTAAAAGGTGAAGGCAAAAGAGAAGGAAAAATCCCAGGCAGAGGGAAGACTGGGCAAAGTCAGGTCAGGTCTTTTCTCTCAGCTCACCTTACCAACAATGAAATCTTTTCAATTCTAAGATACCCTAGTTAAAGTAATTATACTTTCCTAACATCACAAAAGCATAATTACTAGGAAAGCTGGTCAGTATGATCAAAAGGAAAGCCTAATTTCCTCTTCTCTCCATTTCAGACAAGCAGTGGGCTTACCTTGGAAAAGAGGCAACTTTCAACTGGTTGGTATGTTTGAATAGCTGAACAGATTAAAAGCCCAGAGGTTTTCATAACCTAAAACTACTTCTCCTGTTACATCTCTAGAGCCCCAGTGACTTCCTTCCCTCATCATTGCAACTCTCCAGAAGCTTACACAATAGCTATCTACTGGCTTTCTTCCCAAACACACAGTCCCAACATGAGACGGACTAAGAGGCACTCCTGACAGCAGCAACAGCAGCTGAATACAGCAATGACAAAAGGATTTCCCTAACGTGGAGAATCTAGACACAGCTGGTGAACCACAGAAGATGTACCCAAATCTGCTCTCCTATACAAGGAAACTAATTTGAGCTGAGATTTCAGGTTGCCATTTTAGAGGAATACAGGAGCACTTGTTTGGTTTTAAACATTATAAACCCAAATCAACAAAAGCATTTATCCCATTTTTTGTTTGGTTGGGGTTTTTTTTGTTGTTTCTTACTTTGTTTTGTTGGGACTTTTTTTTAAACACAAGGGAAACAGCTTGGAGAGGCCTTTTGGGGTGCTTTAAGGTTGAGGGTTTTTTTGGAAGAGTAATATCCCCATGCGGCTTTGTATGAGACACCAAAGCACCCTGTGAAGGCGCACAACTAAGAAACAAAGCTGAGTGAGAAAGGACTGTAAAACAAAGGAAAAGTTGACAAGCCTACTTTCATTGTCCAAGCTGAATGAAATGCAAAAGAATAAACAGAGCACAACCAATGAAGAGTAAATTAGATGATTAGCAATTCCTCCAACTTAATCAATCAAGGCATTAATCATGAAACAATTAAGCACATTGTTGAAAGAGGAAAAAGAACAAGAAGAAACACAACAGCTGAAGTGACACAGGATGGCCTGCCCAAACCACAAGGGTCTGCAAGCAACCTGTCAGGTGCTCTGTTAATGCTTTGCTGTGCCTAAGCACACCAAGACCAGAAGTTTGCTCAACTATTTTGACTCAGAGTCTAGCACGAAACCTACTCACCCTAGTAAAAAACAAACAGACAGAAATGCTCAAAACAAGCAGAGCCATACCTGAGAGCCGGGGACTGGGAAAGAAAGCGAGAGGAAATGCTGAGGTTTTCAGTTCTTTCCAGATTCCTACAAGAGCCACCTAAAAATTTTGGTTAAAGGGGAGAGAAAAAGTGAGCAATTTAGTTACAGAACACACATTCTGACACACGCAATTTCTTATCACAGAGACTATCAAATCTTCCCCCATATCCAAGGGGATTTTTTGAGTGAAAACCACAGAAAATTAAATAATTTCATTGCTTTTGCCTTTTCTGTTCTACTTAAGATTATTCTGCCTTAAACTGCTTCTCTCCCTAAGGGTACGTCTCCTCCTTTTTCGCTTCCCTTTGTGTCCTATCTTGCCTGTAGGACTGTAAGGCACTGGCATCAAGAAGAAAACAAACCAATCAAAGGAGGAAAAAAAAAAGAAAAAAAAGGAAAAAAAGAAGAAAACAAACAGCTCACATAGATACTGCTGCCTGCAGCCATTATCAATTCTAAAAAGATACGCTTTATTCTGGAGTTGGTCGATAAAGACTAACCAGCTCCTTTGCCACTCTGATGTCTCCTCTTATTCCCTCCCTCCACCCAGCATTTCAGCCTTTTCTTTTGTGACATTTGTTATACCTTAATATACCACTAGAGGCCACTACATGTCACTTAGGGGGGGGGCGAACACACAGTTAATACCTTCATACACAACACGAAAAACTAGTCCGGGAACGAGCGAACGGCTCTTCAGGATTCCAGGGACAATACTTAAACCAAACTGACAAAGACCCCAATCTCATCCACACAAATTTACACACAGACCGATGGAGTTAACAGATGTCGTTCTTCTTTAGGCCTCTCCCCAGTTTTGCCCCCTCATACACAACCTTTCCCCACTCCCGAAAGCCCAGCAGAACTTGTAGCCTGGTTTGATTTATACAGGGGACAAATTTGGAGTGACCTCAGAAAGCCCCCCACCGAGCAGAGAGCTGTACCTTTTCCATCAGCACTGCCCAGGGTCCCAAAATGCTGCTTGAGGAACTTTTCCTGATCGGGTGTCTGGGGGATTTCTCCCTCCGGCATGCTAGTACCCACATCCTCCTCTCCTTCCTCTCCCTCCAGGTCTGAGATGCCATCCACACTTAGGGGCTCAGTGCTTTCAGAATCTGCAAAAAGGGAAAAAAAAACAATGCTGTAATAGCATAATCACAGTAACATTATCCAGGTTAAAAAAACTATCTGTCAAAGATGCCAAATTGAACCTACAATGTTAAAGCAAAAGTTGGTCAGCATGAAGCGCAATTCTCTAATCTACCATATCCCACAAACAGCATAGCCTCTGAGATAATCAATACTAAGCCTGCCTCCTTACCTAGCAAGGTAAAAGCCAAAGGTGCACAAGGAAATTGCACTTTAACCAACTCCTGCTTCTACAGCGGCTTCACTGAAGTGCCTGTTCAAACGCCTGAATCTTTACAGCAATACTAGCAAGACTAGTAGGAGTGTGACCTCACTTCAGCTCATGAAGAGGATCAAGTATTAGAGATCAGGATAACAATTCATAAACATGGCACAGAACCACCCCAGCAAGTTTCTGCAGTGTTCCACATCACTTACAAACACATTTTAAATGTCTTTGCATCTCACCTTCATTCGGATGGTCTGGGCTGGACAGACGACTGCTGCTGTAATCTACAGAGCAGGCACTGTCAGGACTGTGTTTGTCTGGACATCCATTACTGTGATAACCTCTACTTAACTTCCCATGGGGCAATGCTTTTACCTGGAACTCACTACAAGAGAGACAGGAAAGATACAGCACTAGAAGAGATATTTGTTTTACACGTAAAGAAGCACATTCTAACTTTAATATGGCTTACCTGTGTTAGTAACACCTCTAATTACAAAAGTAAGGCTTTAAAGAGAAAAAGAAGTTGATTTCTCTCATCATTATACAGTATATTTTTTGCATTTCATTAAGCTTGGACAGTGAAGTCTCAAGGGGACTGTCTGACTTTCTGGGCATTGTCAGTTCCCTGTGATTACCAGGCACCAGCACAGCACTGCCCTGGCTCGATTTCCAGCACAGGTGAGGAACAAATGTAGAGCTCTATGTAATGAAAAAGGGACTAAAACCAGGCCTGTATCTGCATGATAGAAACTCCAGTTTGCCATAGATCTGAGCCCTAATATACTGTTTTTTCCATGTTTATGACCTGCTTCTTTGAGCAACTTCTGTGTTGCAAAATAGAGAAGATTCTGGGTTTGAGCAAGACTAATTTACTGAAGAACATCGTACAAAAATACAGTATCGTAGGTCAGGATTCTCAATTTCTGATGTGATTTCACGAGTCTTATTTTGTCAAATGACACCAGCAATGTTCTTTTGCCTGATGCCCGAGGACTTCAGTTTTCCACTTTATGAAATACTTTGGTTTCAGATGTATTCCAATGCAAGGCAGGATGCAGAAGTCACTCAACAGAACTGAATGGCAATTACTCCTGGAAGCTTGCAAACTCTGTATATTTTGAGATATGTTCAGTCTGTATCCAACATCACCAGAGGGCCTGCCTTTCTTACATGATGGAGCAGCACATGAGTCTGCTTTGTCCAAATGTTATCATAATAAAATTAAAAATGTAAATAAAGAGAAACTGGGAGAAACCTAGCAGCTTCAACTACAAAATCTCGGCACGTACTCCTGCATGAAAGCCTGTCTAAAGCTATCAGCCCACTCTTTGTAACAGAGCAGGAGGAGACAGAGGAAATTAAACAGCTATTAGCATCAGGTTAAAATGTGACGGGAAGAACAAAATTCAGGGAAGGAAAAAACATGGAGCACAGAGTGAAACACAAAATTAAGTGAAGTAGAACTGAAACAGAAGAAACAGCAGAGGAAGAAAAAAGGTCTCCACTGTCTCCAGTGCCCTTTTCAATTCCATCTCTCTCATGCAAGACACTTTATTTCCCACAAAAGGGCCATCACATACTACATTTGTTAAATTCTTGCCCAATTAGCTTTGAAATTGTCATAAATAATACTGCCCTGTCATTTCTCCTGGGCAGACATTTCACTGCCATGTATACGTCACTGTTGGGTGGTTTTACAGCTTCCAAGTTTTCCCTTGCTTATTTCAATCCAGATAAGGGAGAAAGCAAAAAAGGCTGCTCCCAAGTTGTTTATTCAAAAAAAAAAAAAAACAAATTTGGAGGGGGCTGCTAATGTGCAGTTTCCTCAGAGGAAAGATTATTTTAATGGTGCCTCCTTAGTTTCAGATTTCTTTAGCATCAGGCTGGCACAAAACTCCCAACTAAACATGCCTGGCATCAGTCAGGCAGTAAGTCAACTCATCCAAGTTACCACACAAGCTGCAAGCAAACTAAACGAGAAACGTCTAAGCCATGCACAGCAGAGAGCTTATTTTTAACCTGCTAGGGTCTGTGGGATGGATTTCATCTTGCTCAGGGTAGATTACACACTCCTCACTCTCAGAAGGTTCCAGTTCCTGAGAGAAAATCCCCTCTTCACAAGACACAAGCCGAATCACTTGGGGTCGCACACAAGACCGGTTATCTTGGGGAGGTATTGAGCTGCCAACCTGGTTTAAAATGAGAGAAAACTACAGAGATTACCAGTGTTTTTCCTTAAGTCAGCAAGTCCTCTGCAGAGCAAGAAAGTATGCATTACAGCACAGAATATGATCAGAAATCTGAGATCAGAAAACACAGTGCTACTACACCTTTCCTGTTCCTTATTTACTAAACTTGACAGACTATTGCAGTAGTTTCCTATTCTGTTTTTTGTTTGCAAGTTCTCTGGTAAAGTACTGGATGCCCTATCCCTCTTTAATCACACATCAGGAGTGTAAGCCATGTGGCAGCAGGTTCTTCCATTACCTTTTATAGACTGATAAGAGAAGCCTGTGTGCCACAGCTGAAAACCACTGATTTACTGCATGCAGTGAACCCAATCCTCTTCTCAGTCACGCAGTTATAAAGGAAGAAAAAACTCTAATGAAGTTTGGCACCAGGACAGACTGCTACTGGAAAACATGCACTAGCTTTCTGAGGTACGAGCACGTATTTACTTGTAGTGACTCATCTATAGAAAGATTAAAGAGAACTTAACAATCTAGCACAACTAAGGGCATCATATGAGCCACATTTCAGTGGCTACTGGAATCAAGAAACCGCACCTCAGCAGAGGAAGCTAACAGGTAATCAGGTACACATCCATAACTCCAAGCTCAGCTTATCAGCTTGTTTTTGCCATAAATAAACAAAGAGCTGAAAGAAAACATGAGGTCCTCCCTGTCATTGGAAAGAAACCTTGATCCCATATGGATCTGCTATAAGATGGCAGTCACATGTTGCAGTACTAACTACAAAAGAGTTATCTAAACAAGTTTCCTAGAAGGCTTTTAGAGCCACTTCTAAAGATACAAAGAATGGCATTAGGTAGTATTAATGTAATAATAAACAGAGGCAGGACAGATGCACTCAGAGTAGATCACCTCAGAGTAGTACTGCCCTTACTTTGTTGATATGCACAGGAAGATCTGCCTGCTCTTCTCTGTCGTCCCCATTGCTGTTTTGAGACAGCGAGTCTCGACTCGGAGAACGGGAAACCGAGAAAGACTCCAACTGACGCAAGTCAAGCATGGATTTCACAGTCATCTCTATGTTGCTGGTTGGCTGGGACCAGCGCCCACGTTGCCGGGGCATCTTGCTCATTGGTGCCTCTGAGCGCTGGATTGCCGCTATCTCTTTGGCCTGAAGGAAATTGAAAGAAAGATGGTCTTAGGAGAGAAAACACAAGACCAAAAGAAAAACACAATTATGTCCATCTCCATAAAAGCCCCAAAGCTGTCTGTGAGACAGCTTAAAATTCGTCCCTTAATCATAAAGCATCAAGGAAAGATGATATTTTTGTTGCCGGTTCTTGCATAACTGAACATTTAAGTGCCTTGCTCTGATCCAAGTATATGATCAGCTTCAGCACTACATGACATTCAGATCAGAAATGAAGGGGCAAAAGCATAAAATATGATGGAAAGACACTGATGTAAAAATCCCAAATGAAACTGTCCCAAACCAGGCTCTATTTTGCCATCCCCAAGTCGTTCTTCACAGAGACTTCTCAATCATTTCCCACCGCAGCTGCACCTTTTCCACCAGTGCCGATTAAGTTTTTAGTCTCCATGGGAATTTTTTTTCCAGTTTCCCTATGACAAGAGATACAGTTTGAAGGTTTAGCAACTCACTCTTCTCATTTCCCAATGGGAAAGGCTTCTTGAGAGGGTAAGGTCTGGATCTGGAAAGGGAAAAAGAGATATACATAGTTGACCTCCCTGGCCAGCAGTCCAGCCTTTTAAAGACCTCTTACTTCATCTTTCCTCAAAGGCAGCATTCCTATACCTTCTGAACAAGCAGACCCCTACCAACACAGGCTTTCCCACAGACTACCAAATCGTTGCATCAAAATTTTAATGGAGACATACTGTTTTATATAAGATTTTCACTGACTCAGCAGATCCACTGCAGAACACTTGCCACAGTGCAGTGGCCCACCAAAGGCTTGGGAAAAAAACCTCTCCAATACACTGTATCATCTGTGGTAAAAATACTTCAAATCAGTAATGGTAATCTCTACTGTAAGTTTTACCAGACATACCTAGAATCTTCTGCGAGATCTCTCTTGGCTTCTGTGGACTTCTAACAGCTTGTAGACCCAAGCCCAGGCCACTAATTCAAAATTTGTTTGGCCAGTTGGAACTAACAAGAAATCTGGCAATTTAACTATTGAATTTCTAACCAGAGAACTCCGAAATGTACCCCTCTTCAGATGCAGGAATGGGCAACTCCAGATCACCCATTGGTATCAATCCATCTGTTTCTGTTTTGGTCTTTCTCTTTCTGCCCATATCTTGTTACCCCTAAGCCAGTGTCTCTCATCTTCTCCCCACTTCACATTCATGCTATTTTTCTCCACCTCTGTCCGTGTCCCTCTCCCATTCATACCTGAGTCTCTATCAGTGTTGCAGCTGGACTGAATATGGAAAGACTGCAGCCCACGTAATTCATCTTCATCATTCCCTTCATCTTCACCATCTTTGTCACTGTCTGATGAGAGTGCAGGCACAGAGGACAGGGCAGAGATGGACTCATGCCTGGGAGGCAGGAATTGGAAGGAGTATTACAGTCAATCTCAAGAATTGCCCACCATTTCAATCCTTACACCAGGCAGTTCTCCACCTTATCTCCATCCATACTCAGCAGGCTGCCTAAACTCTCCCAAACAGCCCTCGCTCTAGCAAAAGCCATCTCTGAGAAAGAGGGCAAGTTAAACCCTACACAAATGTGTGGAGAGCCTGCCACAGCAATCGTCTCATATGTGTGGAAGGATGACAGAAATCAGAACAGAATTAAATGAGTCTGAGAAAGTCAAGTGGACTGAAACCTGGCCTTGCATTTCAGACACCGCCAATTGATAAGGTCAAGATGGTAGAGCATATTTGAAAGGCAAATATTTCTCCCACCCTTAAGCATTTCCTCTCTGGAACTGTTTTGCTCATCAAAAATGTCACAGAGAAATTCCCTGTTTGACAGCAATTTGGATTATGGCAAATTATCACATAAAAGACAGGTTCGTATCAAGGATCGCACCACGTAGAACCTGAAGGCACAGCCCACACACCGTAAGAGCACCATGCTGCCTTTTTTAGCCTTCGGGCACAAGGAATAATGTAAAACATATTTTGGGCAGATCTCTAATCAAAGTAGGTCAGTCAAGTGTTCCCACACAGACCTCAGAGGCACTCCCAGCATAGAAGTCCCTAATACCAATCAAGGACACTCACCAACACCAAACTCGCATCTTCCCTCTTTCTTCTCCTCTTCCCCTTCCTCCCCTCGCCACTTCAGTCAACAGAACCAAATGAACTAACCCACTTTGGACAACAATTGAACAAATGAAGAATCCCTAACAAATAAATTTGAGTAGTACCCACTCCATGGCCCTGAGCTAGAGTGCCAAACTCATCATTAGTGACACTTACAGGATATCACCGGTGGGTGTTGAATGCCAAGCATTATTCATGAAATAAAACTAGCTCATCCACCAAACACAGAGCAGCCTGGAGAGGGACCAACTTCTCCTGCAGCTGACAGATAGCAGGCAGTATTGAAACATGGTAAGAAATAGTTATGCTACTTTAATCTTTTAGCTTCCCATATAGTGGCAGAACACTAATTTCCATTTCATGAGGAGTGGTTGAACAGTAACCACTCAACTCTTTCAGATGAGCTTTGAGGTGTTCTGGCAAAAAGAAGAGTGAAACTGACTGTAGCCTGCAGAGTCCTCCACTGGAACAGATTCATGCTGGCCGTCCTCATCTACTTTTGACATTTGAGCTTGTCAGTCTCTTCACCTTTTCTACTGTCTCCTTGTGTCCATCTTGTCACTCTCAAGTTCTTGTGTCTAAGCAGGGGAATTCCCACAAAGTTCAAGCACCATAGTACATTTGAAGTTATGCCACATTTCACCCTATGAGGTATATGCCATTTATATAAGCAATATTAACTTTGTATTGGTAACTCTGATAGCATCCTTCTGCTTGTATTCATCATGGTTGAGGAGTTTATTGAGGAAGAAAGATTGGATAATTAGACATTTTAACATCTAACTGGCTGAATACCTCACTGTGATGAGGTGATACGTCAAGGCAAGGTTATGTTTGCTAAAGTCCTGCATGTACTGTCATTGGTGTAAATGGAGAAGCGAGGATTGCTATCAATGTGCTTTAATGTTACAAATAGAAAGATGGCCTCTGTCCACCAGATGGTGACTGACAAAATTAGAAAGAGGGAAAAAAGTATGTTCCAATATCCTCAAAGGAGCCGAGTAAGAGAATGCAAAACATATTTTGGAAGTCGGATGGGCGTTTTTTCATACCTCACAGGAAGGGTCAAGCAAATTACGAAGTCACATGTGTTTGATACAAATGTAAGGTTATCTTGCATTATCCCAACAAAAATTCATGTCCCCCTTCCACATCCTCCTTTTTACAATTCAAATATGCTTTTCAAACTCAGTTCTGTGACCTGAAGGGAGATAACTGAATGGAGTTTTCTAAAGGATCTTGGGCCCACTGACTTGAAACTGAGATACTCCTGAAAATGAAACCTAAGTTCACAAGGTCTTAAGGGTTTTAACTGTTGTGCTTGCCCAAGTCAATCCCTCAATTCGGACTTCACTACTTTCTTCTTTCATTCCCTGCCTTCTTCTATGTACTTCGGATTTTCATCTAAGCCCCTCTGTTGCACATATCTCCTCAAAACCCTTCCTCAGTTCTTGTTCATGATTAGATGAAGGAAGAATAATGTAGGGTGAGGTTTCAAGCACAGGAGCTGCTTCCAAATAAGCACCACATGACAGCATTTTGAAAGTGAAGGAGTAAGACCTCTGGGGTTTGCTGAATTCCTGTTGAGAGGAGGTTCAGCCAAACCCCAACAAAACATCATTATACCAGAACAAATGTTTCAGGGTAGCTATTCCGGAATAGCATGTACAGACATGTCCAATTCTCATGATCATGTGACTCACTTAGAGCAAGCATTTTAATTGCCCTTTATCTTGTCTTCTTCCTTTGCTGAGGAACTGTCAGCTCCTAGTTTCTGAAGGGTCTGCCAGTACAGGGTCAATAGCAGGTAAGGACCTTCAGTTAGAAAGTTGCCAGGACACATATATAGACTTAAAAGTGCCACATGTCTTTATGGAGTTCTAGTATTAAGACATCTGATATCAGGTACTCTGTATTCTTTTGTATGTCCCGAATTCAACTCTTTTTTCTTTTCTTAAAACAAAACAAACCAGACAGGAATGGCAACTATCAATGTAAAGAGGTATGTTGTCAGTAACACTCTGATCTTGTGCTATTCAAACCCTCAGCTTTAGGGGCATATTTATGAAACTGTAACACCCTATGTGATAGGAATCACTAGCCTCCCCTCGCCCACAAACGCCTAAGGGTTTTAAAAAGAAAATTACCCTGCTTTTCCCCACAGAAAGATCACAGTGCTGCTGACTTCAAAGTTTCCCTGGTGTTATAATTGCAGTAGTTCAGCAGAGACCCAGGCACCATTTCTGATCTGGCATCAAAAGCCTGCCCCATTCTGGGCCCTGGAAACCACACAGCTTTCCCGGACTGGACCAAAGCCTCACTACTGGGAATTTGATAAGGAGCTCTTCTTTCCAAATATAACTGACAGCACACAGTACTTCTTCAGCTTACACATGTAAGTTTTAGACAATTTAACTTGGATAACATTTCTATCTCCTGCTATTCATACCAGAGGTTCAGTGAAAGTCACAGAAAAAGTGACTTTTAAAATTAAAATAAAAAATATAAATGCTCAGCCAAAACGTCTATAAGCCCTGCAAACATTCCACAGTAAAATCAATTTAAAACTTCTCTTCTAAAAAGTTGAGACAAGCTTTTCTAAACAATAAATACATACTTGGATCAAAATCAAAACCCTATTAAAAGGCCTTTACATGGTTCCTTCTCTGAAAACATAAATGCCTCAAAACCAAAACGTACCAGCAGTATCAGCCAAGTACAAGTTCTATTATCCCGAACAATCAAAGCTCCTCATGTTCAGCAGATGAGAGAAAAGCAAACATCTGCAATTACTACAACCAGAGGCAGAACTGAAAGGCTCTCAGGGCCACTATGGAGAAACAGGTCAGAGTAGTTCCAAAATAATCCAATGTCCCATAAAGGCAAGTCAGAGAAATCCTTCAAGAGGAGAAAATTTAGTCCCCTCTTGAAGTTTTTTGAGGGACTGAAAAGGCTGGGACTCCTCAGTTTGGAGAGAAGGTTGGATGGAGAGAGGTTATTATAAAGGTTTACAAAACTATGGGGACTACAGATAGTCAGATGCAGAATGGTAGTTCACCAAAGCTCACAATATTCAGAAGCAGGGAGCTTTCAAAGAAACTACCAGGAGTGTGGTTTAACAGAGGCAAAAAAAGTCCTTCTTTCCACAGACAGCAGTGAACTCTAGGAACTTGTCACCAAAGGAGGTTGCAGAGGCAGACAATATTACAAAGCTCAAAAAAGATTTACATAAATTCAGTGGACAATGGGCCCAAGACCAAATACTAAAGGGAACAGGTAGAGATGTACCTCCTAACATCCCTGATATAACAATCAAGCATGAGGCAAATGGACCACAAAGGTCCATATAGCAAGGCTCACACAGTGTCTCGCTAAATAGCATCTCCATTGCCACTGTCACAGGCAGAATTCTGGGCTTCATGGAGCACGGGTTTGAACCAGAAAGGCATCTTTGGTGTGTTGATGCTCCAGATGTTATTCACCCGGGCCAATCCCTGCCCTGCCAGTTGCAGCTGGACAGAGAGAGCACTGTCCTAAACTGGAAATCTTCAGCTCCTCACTGTCTCCTCCGCTTACTTTTGTTTCCCCAGTATTATTTTGATTTCTCATCCTGTCATACACTCATACTATGGAACTAGCAGTATACATTACTTCCCCCACCAAATTCTAGCAATACTTCTACGGAAAATCTAGTAGAACAAATGACATATCACTAGGCAGAGAGCTTTCTATACTACTGTGAGCCCTGTTGAGACAACAGTTTTATACCACAAGGTACAACTCAACTCTCCACTGCAATCTACACAGACAGACTTTGAAAACACAACCAGAACAGGTACAGGGCATCTAGAAAACCAATCTTACTCAAGTTCATTAGTTTTCCTTCTCCCACCTCAGTAATGCTGGTCCAATAGGCTCTTCCTCCATATTCAGTCCCAATCCAAAATGCTTTGGAGTTATGCTTTGCTGATCTCCAGTGACCACAAAGGTTGATCAAAACTGAAAACAAGCTTTCAAAGCTGACCAAACAAGCAAACTCCAGGCTTGCAAAGAGGTTACCAAACAAGTTTAATAAAGTTCTGGGCTTGGCGTGGCAATAACACCGCCCTTCAGCAAGCGTCTGTGACGGAAACAAGTCTCACCTAATGCAGAAGAGGACTGGGATTATCTGTCACAGGCTGAGCCTCGGTAGGGTAAGGCTGCAGCTGCTGGAATAATGGAGAGTCTGCTATAAAAAGCACGTTGCTTGACAGCTCCAGAATTCTGGCTATAAAAGACACTTCCTGAGTTCTCTCAGCATCATTACCAAAAGCACTTATTAGACAAGACTCAAGAATGACTCTGCTCAAGAATGAGCAGATCAAGACTTTCCCAAATGAAACTATGCAGACAGACTTGTTTCAACATTACTTGCTCCCAAAGGGAGTGGGAAGGTCCCTGTGATACTCAACACAACAACCAGTGTGGTAAGTCCTCCAATACTTTGGCACTTTCATATTCAGAACTCAATTTGTAGTCATTTGGAGGAGGAAAATTGTGGGACGTAGCATAAAAAAATCTGGTTTTCCTTTTTTCCCCACTTTGATCCCCTATCAGCTCAGTCAGGACTCTCTCCTGCATTGCTAACAATCAAATTAGTCTCAGCTACTTACTAACTACAGAGAAACCAAATACATTACACTAATAATCCATAATCACCTGTCACTCTTGTTCTGTTTAAAATACAGTCTGTGTTTAAGCATCTCTTTTTAAAGAAAGGTCACCAGATAAATTTAGATCTATTCAGTCTGTAGGCTGTGGTCTGTTTTTAGATACACTGTTTACCAAGCAAAAAATAATAATATGATTTAGCTGCCAAGAACTTTTCCCATGGAAATGATTTTTATATTTATTATTTATATTATAATTATCTTTAGGTGACCTTTTTCAAAGCCTCCGGAAAATAGTCAACAAAGAAACAGCACAACTGTAAGGACTCTTTCAGAATTATGATCAACATGCTAAACTCATACAGCTCACAGGTATACTTCAGTATTGACACTGCAGAAAATAGCTTTTAAATTACATTCAGCCTAGATCCAGAGAACTTTATTCATGAAGGAGCAAGGCTTCCCTGGTAGGATGCTGTGTACCATCCTCAATATTGCTAGATAAACTGCTTATTTAAGCTTCTGACCACACCATTAAACTAAATTAAGACACAAGAGGCATTGCATACACATTGCATTCAGTGAAGCAACACTAAGTAAGCCTGTCTGGAAGATCAGTCTATAACCCAAAAAGGGGGCACAAAACCCATGGCAAATCCAACAGAAGAGTAAGAGAACTTTTGGAAGGTACTATCAGTGAAGACAGCAGAAACCTGACAGTTGAATCCTAGTGCCACGCTTTTCACATTAAACCCTTTGTAAAGCCAGCCACCTCTCCTTAGTCTACTCTGCTCACCTCATGAGTCCAGTTGTCTTGTGCTGAGGAGACTTCTCTGCCTGCTTTCCTCTCTGCTTCATGTCAGACAGTCGCTGCCGCATGTTGATGGTCATCTCCGAGCTCAGACGCCAGATGAAGATACAGCTGAAAGAGGGAAAGGAGAGGCTGAGGCCAAGTCTCAATTAGGTTTATTGATACTATCAATTCCCACTGCAGAGGCAAGCAAAAGCCCTTCTGTCTGTGGCAGGGAGAGACATACGCAGAAACAGCTTCACAGAAACTCAATCCCATCACAAGCCTCATGACAAAAGGGTAAAACCTGCCTGGCAAAGACTCTCTGTGGGTGACAGCAACTGCAGAGACATTTGCACAGACTCATCTCTGATCCTCTAACTTTATTTGACTATCTGACTAGCTGCTGAAGGAAATGCCATAACAAGTCCCTCCACGGTCCGCAGGGTAAGTGGAGCCTACAGATGTCCTTTGCATCCTCTAACAGTGGCTAAGCTGCAGCCTCTGATTGCAACTACACCCACTGGCAAGGCCTTCTTAATGCCCGCCATCCCATGGAGCCTCCATGGTGTAATAATGGTTAAGTTTATGTGGCAGTACTTTTTGCAGTCAGGGTGCTCCTAATATTTCACTTGGACTCCCTCCAGGAAACTTCAAAGGAACTTGATTTGATCTGGTCAATGGATTCAAAAGCATTTGAGAGAGGGAACACACAGTGTGATCTCATTGGTCTAATTTTCTTTAGAAATTTGGGTAAAAAATACCAATTTTAAAAAAAACTTCCTCAACATGTTAGAGAATACTGTATCTCACCTTCTGCTACTAGAAAGCTAAATGACCAGCATTTTCTTTTAAATTTAACCTCAGCGCTAACTAATTCTTTTCACCTTACCCACCTTTCCTGTCTAGCTGGGTATACTTACATGGATGTAGACACAGAGGTCGTGCTTTTGCTATCACTTACAAAATCCTCCACACTACTTTGGAATCCAAAGAGGATTTAATCCAGTTCTTCAAGAACCATCAGTGCCACCATACTCATGGGTCCTCCAATTCACGAAGGAGTTTTCAATGTCTGTAAAAAACCTTTTGTTCTGCCATTTTGAACAACGACCATGAACTTTGGTCCCTCTGACCTGAGGCAAATGCTGAAAGCGCCAGGATCTTGAATGACTGCATCGTCTCCATTTTTTTCCTCTCATAAGAAGTTATTTTTAAAAGTTTTTATTTCCATACCACAAACAAAGAAAACAGAAACCCCACTTTGCAGTCTGTGGAGATTTTAATGAAAAACTAAAAATTCCCTTCTTGCACCCAGCATGACTCCCTTTGTGACAAAGCTCAGCAGCATCACTCCCAGCTACTGAAGTCACACACAGATGCTTCCCACCAACAGTGAACACTCCATCACCCTCCCACCCCAGCTTTTCAGCCAGGAGAAAGTGGTGAGGCACTGCATCTGGGAACTACGGCAACCCGGGGCAGCCAGCTGCTTCCCCTCAAGCAGCAGCTCTCTCAAAGCTAACAACCAACATAATCTGCTCCAGAGAAAATACTGAAAAGCAGGAACCAAAATTCTGAAAGCAAATCTGGCTTGTTGATTTATCCCACCCCCACAGCTATCAAACCTACAGATAAGCAGCAAACAGTATGAGCTTGTAAATACATTAGCATTCAACACAAAGCTTTACAGAAGCATGCTCCCACCTATCCCTTTTACTGTTGGTTTTTTCCCCTTGCAGTACTTTTCTCACATGGGTCTCCCCCTCCCTGTGCCCTTCCTCATCTCCATTTTTCTTTCTATTCCCGGTTTTATTCTTTGCACATGCTGCTGTGTGTGAACAGACCATTTTCCCTGTTCTCCTTTGAAAAACAGGCTTTCTCATCTCCTTACAGCAAAGTTCTTCATGAATCCTTTCTTCACTTCTCATCCACCTCCTCCACACCCTTAGTGAAGAAAATGACCCTTTCGCTCATAGAAATGGTCAACAAGGGAATGTTGCACTAAATCAGAAGGATCATTGGGGACCTCAAACCTTCAATGTTTGTGGAATTTATTAGAAATCCACACAAAAGGACTCTCACTTCTGCAACTTTTCGCCTAATCTATTCACGCAAGTGAAAGGTAAAGAAAGAGGAAAACTAAATTATTTACTTTTTACTGAAAGACAGAAATAAGGAACTGATGTGATTTAAGGTGATATATTGTATGTTCTGTAACAATTGACCCTCTAAAACTCTTTTTCCTGTTCAATTGTGTTTTATTAATAGAAAAGAGAAAGAAAAAGAGAGAATCTGGGTTGTGCTGGCCTTGAAATAGCACTCCAGGAACCATCTTTCTCAAAGGAAAAATTTTGTTCAGTTCAGCTAATTTAAGCATTCCCTGACTCCAGAAGTAGTGGGTCCGCTCACCTCTACAATCATCATACTAGGCATATATTCTCCTTTTCCCCTTGGGCTCAGTCTGGTGATTACTTAAGCTTTTGGTGAGCTGATTTAGCTCACTAAATCAGCAGAAAACTTAGCTGGGGGGGGTGGGGGGGTGCGGTGTGGTGTGGTGCTGGTGTAGTGACCTGAATCAGCTTCATGAGGGGTCAGCCACACCACAGCTGACTTAGGGGAGTGGGTAGGAGGACCATATGGACAGGAGTAAAGAGTGGTGACAGGCCTGTCCCTTTTGCTGCTAGACAGGCCCATTCACCTGATGAAACCTCACCAACAGGACTACTGTAAGACAAAGTTTTGGCACTAGTCAGAATATCACAAGTTGCCTTACATTACAGACCTGAAGGCTGGTAAGGAAAAAGGCCACACCCCTGTCTCCTTTCCAGCAGGGAACAGTACCTCCACTCAGAAAACCACAAGCGAAGTACTTCACTTGGGCATCTCATTCCTTGGGAGGATAATATAAGCTCTGTGAGCTCTGCCAATGGCACACATTTAGGATTCAGAAAGTTCTGAGGTTTATTTGGAAGTCATAAAACATCCTTCATTAAAAAAAAAATATCTACCTTCCTTTAGGACGCACATTAAATTCAGTGTGAGATGGCATGAGCTGATAATACAAACAAGGAAACGCCTCTTACCTGTCACCAGAAACAGAGATCAGATGTTTGCAGTCGTTACTGAATTTCATTCCAGTTACAATCTCTGTGTGAAATAAAGCACAAGAAAAAAAAAAACCTTCCCTGAATTATTCCAGTGGGCAGACCATTAGCTAAATAGCCTATCTGTGCTCAGTAACTCAAATACTGATTAAAGCCAACACACGTCACAGATCAATATGCCCCAATTACCCTAACCACTTAACGAAGAATCTAGGCTTCACATAAAAAAGATATCTCGTGGCAAAATAAGCACACGGACTGAAGTCTCTTTTTGCCTATACTAGAACAGCCCCTGCATGGTAGGTGCTGAGGGTATATCGTATGGGAACTTAATAAACGCTGAAAAAACACAGGCTACCTTATATGGTATTAGAAAAACTGTGTAAAGGAATACATGGCCTGACAGGCATGTGTGTGCTTGTGTTTTGCTATGCAAAATGCAGTCTGAAAAAAGTTGAAATTGCAATGAATTAAGCTATTACAACTTCATCCAATATAACCTACTCCAAAATAGCCATTGGGTAAACTTTGGTGGTGAAGAACCTTCAGAAAGCTTTGACTAGTATCAGACTCTACTATATAGCCATCGGCAGAAAAAAGATGCATTTCCAGAAGTTTACGTGCTTTACCTGAATGTCCATACATAGTTGCGACACACTCGCCAGAATAGAAATCGAAGATGGAGAGGTTCTTGTCAGAACAACTGGTTGCAATATACAGACCAGAGGGATCTGTTTGCACCTGGTTTAGGAGATAAGAAAGGTGCGAAGACCTGGTGAGAAACTGACTTCAAACCGCATGAAAATGGTCCAGAATACCCAAGACAGTCATAGTAGTTAACAGAATAAAATGCACGTCACTCCCACAGGACTCCAATTGAGTATCAGGCTATCCAGCATATCCCAGGACAAATCTCCAACCTGACTAATCTGTTAAAACTATCTCCAACCTAATCAGAGACTAAAGGCACTTACATTAAATGCCTTTGTGACTGTGAAGGCATCACTATCAATGGACAGTCTTACACCTCTCTCTCCTACCTCCTTTTAACCACCTGGGTCTGACTTTCTTCTATCTTAAGATCAAAACAAAACAAAACAAAACAAACACATGCCAAAAACCACTTTCCCCCACAAAAAATAATCAGAGCTGACAGACTAAGTGAAATATTAAAAGACTCCAATCTTGAGGAGAGAAAACAAACGAGATCTCAACATTGCCGAGAAATTGCCTTTGATAATGACGCTGGCAAATCTCCAGCATTTGCAACTCCCATTTTTGTGTTGTTCTGGGTTTGGGTTTTTTTTTCATATACATCTATTTGTTTCTTTATCTTGGATCAAATCTAAAAGCCCCTCCAAATGCCTCACTAGGTCTAAAGCAGCATTACACTGCAAATACAGCTGCTGTCACCAAATGTGCTGCTTTGTCCTTTGCAAAATTGCAAAACTTTAAGGAACTGAGAGTGAAAATGTCTGGTTTTGAGGGAGATAATGGTATTTAAAGAATGGTAACTTTTTTTGGTTTTATTTATTTTGTTGCTGTGTCATTTGCTTCCAGTGTCACTGTTTGGGTTCTACTTGTTAAACCGCAATGTATATTATGATCGCAGAATGGCATGCCAAGAAAGTTTAAATTCCAGAGACAATCATAATACCTTGGTTACATAATTGTCCTAAAAATGAACAAAGCAACATTACAAATAATTGAGATTCCCCACTTAAGCCACACATGAAAAAACCAAAAACATAAAGGATATTAAAACCAAAAAATCCAGCTCCCAGCAACATTTCATGGTTTGTGGTCTGAGAAAGATACAATCAAGCACCTGAGCTTAGCAGCAATAAAGCGTAGCCTCAATTTTTCATTTTCATTACTCTAGCTTATAAAGAACTTAGGAATTATAATAGGCAAAGAGAAATAGAACCTTTTTTTCTCTGTAAAACAGAAGAAGTGACACTGAACAAAGCCGTTTGCTTTCCTCTCCCTTTTTACCCAGTTACTTACACCCATCACCAAAAGACTAGACTAGACTATTTCAGTTCGAAGGGACCTAAAATGACCATCTAGTCCAGCTGCCTGATCAATTCAGGGCTGACCAAGTTAAAGCATGTTATTGAGGGCATTGTCCAAATGCTTCTTAAACCCTGACAGGCTTGGGGCAGACCACCTCTCTAGGAAGTCTCTTCCAGTGTTTGACCAGCCTCTCAGTGAAGAAATGCTTCCTAATGTCCAGTCTAAACCTCCCCTGGTGCAGCTTTGAACTGTTCCTACATGTCCTATCACTGGATGCCAGGGAGAAGAGCTCAGCACCTCTCTCTCCATGTCCCCTCCTCAGGAAGCTGTAGAGAGCAACGAGGTCACCCCTCAGCCCTCCTTTTCTCCAAACTAGACAAACCCAAAGCCCTTAACTGCTCCTCATAGGACATTTCTTCCAGCCCTTAATAACAACACTGGCCTGTGCAGCTGAACAGAAATATTTGATTTAAAAAGTAGAAAAATTATCAGTGAAAACAAATACAATGAAGAAGCTTGTTTGGCAACTCAACTTCAGAGATATTTTCGTTGTGTCAATTGGTCTTCCCCCTTTAAAGACAAGAATGCAATTCTTCCACATCCCAGTGTGCTGGTGGCATCACTCTTAACATTGAATCTTGAACACACCTGGTTTACCAGGGGAAACCCAGAGTGGCACAAGCAGGCGTGCTACCCTATCCCATGGCCTGGATGCATTCAGCAGGTGGGAAACATGAACAGACTCTCCATTCATGTAAGTCTGATAAGCAGCAATAAGTCTGTAATAAGCGGTACTGGGCTTGTCCAGCACTCCAAGACCCAAAGAATATGGGCTTTTCAGGGCAGATGCTACTTAATTTTATCAATTCATAAAGAGTTTCACTTGTATTTGCCCTCTGATTTCTCACTGATCAACAGGCAGCTCCACCTTAGAAATCCTGACGAAATTAGTCAAGAAAGCCAGAATGAGGTCTCTGGAGAAGTAAGTAAAGGATGAAAGAAAATGGACTAAATCATCTCCTGACAGATACTGGTGCAGCTCTACTTGCTTTTACTTGCTCCTGCTGTGCTCACTTCAGAAATAAGACAGAGAAGTTGTAAGTCAACCTCAGCATTCATTGACTCTGTTCCTGTTTTAGCCTGATGGAACCCAAATACATTACCAGCCCTTAAGGATGGAGGTAGGAGGAAGCAGCAGCAGGACAACAGACAAAGTATGGAGCAAGCAAAATAATAACAACAAAAAAAGTTACTCTGTTCAGATTCGTATTTAATTTTCTTAGCCCTGAGCTGCATTCAGAAGAGCTGGATAAAAAGGAAAAGGGAAGAAAGAAAGAAAACAGCTTACTTTGATGAGGGTGCCATCTTCACCTTGGGATCCCTTGTAAAGCTTCTTCTGCTTCCCACTGCTTATGTTGAAAACCCTGAGGGGGGACAACATAAGACAACGTTGCTCATTTTGCCCAGGTACTGCTTTGTGGCTCTTGTCACCAGGATCCTTTTCTCTTTCTGTTCCTCACCCATGAGATACAGGGAACTGGGCCAAGCCACAGGAAGTGGAGAAATGATCTCTATGAACTGTATCCATCAATCATTTAAATGGCTCAAGAAACAACCTCCAAAGTAATGTAGAGGCCCACAACTGGATGATATGACATCAAGCAGATTATCTGAATTAAAATTGAGGCTTGACCGTCAAGCTGATAATCAAAAACAAGTACAGCATCACGGCACTGAAGGGAGGGAGAAAACCTTGCCATGCCTTGTAATGGCTAATGGTCATATAGCAGTAATGCCTCTTAATAAGCTTCAGTCAGTCCTCCCTGCTATAAAAATACCTGTGGCTCCTTCAAACTAAAGGAAAGGGTTAAGAAAGCAATAACCTTTATTTATATTAGAATTCAAAACCAAATTACATTCAGTAGTGGTATTTAGCTATGACCAAAACTCTCAGCATCTCAGTCAGATACAACTGGAGGCAACACGCAACTACAGTCTCCCTTGCTTTGAAGGTAGAAGCAGACAGATTGGCGAAATGGATTAAAAGGGAGCAGAGAATGGATTCCACTTGTCCAAAGACAGTCACATCTAGCTCAGTTTTAGATTCCCAGCCATTCCACAGGACCTCACAGCTTCCCACTAGAAATACCTTTAAAAGCAAAAAATACCACAGCGCAGAAGTTCTTGCCCCACAGCTCAATGATGTGCCAAGGAAGGCACACTTGCACTCCCAGTAGAAATGCTTTGCTCTGCAGAGCAACCCAGCAAGAAGCCAAGAGTCCCATGTGCATTTGCATATGTCCACAGCTTTTTATCAGTGAGCAGAAAGGCAGAGTTCAACCTCACAGAGTGTGAGGTGAGGCCTCAGATCTGTCTGAAAACGCTGTGTCAAAGAACCTAAAGGAACAGTGATGGAGATGGGGCTGCCTTGGCCAACTGATTTGTGACTGTAAAATATTTTCAAGACAAGAAGTAAACTAACCTGATGTTACGATCCTGGCATCCAATAGCTGCGTATTTCCAACTGGGGTCCACATCCATGTCATACAGAGTGGTCTTCCTAACAATGTGATGTGTTCGGGTAAACTGAACACCTTCTCCTGTCTAAGGATGTGGGTAAAGATTGTGTCAAAATCAAGTAGTTAACCCATTATTAAAAACTTCTAAATACAGATCAGTCTTCTCACACAGCCAGCACAAACCAACTCTTCCCACTAACCAGGTCTGCTGGGAGCAGCTGGGACTGGAGGCACAATGAACTCCCCCCTCCAGCCCACACTCCTCCACCACTCCTCACAATAGCCCTGGCAGTGAAAGAAAAGCAGATATCCTAACAGTTCTCTACTTTGCATCTTGCTGAGAGAGGTCAGGCTGGGAACAGATGCATGCTTCACAGAACAATTCGAATGTAATCTCTTGCATTGAGTCAGTGGGAGACACTGAGGCTGAAATAGCAACAAGCTCATACAGAAACTCTGATATTGCTCTTTAAAGTAGTTCTTTTGTGGAGAGATTATTAAAAAAAAAAAGTGCACAAAAAGCTGTAACAAGGTTACCTTTTGCGCAGTGCGGAAATAGATGCTCTTGTCTGCCCCACAGCTTATCATTCGCACTTTCCCATCATTGGCTGGAACAAAAAGGCAGGAGCAGATCAAAAGATAAAGACAGATACAAGGTGGAGGAAATGTTTCAATTTATTCCGCTGCTCATTTATTGCAGTCCTGATTAGGTAAGACTGACTCCTACCCAAGCAGCAGGATGCTGCAGCAAAACAGAAGCCCCTTCTCAGGGACAGCATTTCTTAATGCTCAGAGTGCATGAGACCTTAATACGGAGGCTTTACACAACAGATTAGGATGTAATTCTGTATTCTCCCTCAACAGTATGCTCACGTGTTATTCTCCATATGCCACAGCACTCCATGGCAATATGACAAGTATGAGCTGAAAACAGGCAACAGGCCTTTTCAGTCCTCAAAGTCAGTCCCACATTTCTTGCTGCCCTTTCTTACTGCAGGATCAGGCTTGCCTTCTTCCCTTAGCACTCTTTCATAACCAATCTGCTCTTTCAGCAAAGCAACACGTGATGAAACTCCACATAATGAAAATGGAACTAATATCACACAAGTCCACTTGAACTACACCCACTTAGAGCACAACTGCACTTAACTCACAGACTAGCATAAAGGCCTTCACTGCCAGGCCTTGACTGCAGTTCCCTCATCTCTGAGGAGTTTAGCTGGCTGCATTCAAGGCCAGCTCATTGACAAAACAGACCTGTCAGAGAAACTTTTGCTGGCCTTGGAGGTCCTCAAGAAAAAAACTTGAAAAAGCCTCACAGTGACTTTGGGGAGCCTCTGCTATGAAGTTTCAGCAAGGTCCCTTCACTTGGGAGCTACTTTCAAACTGAGGTTCTCATCCTTGAACCCCAACTGAGTTACACTGTAGTAGCATTGCAGCCACACCTGTGCCTGGCCACGTACCCTTCTGATCCAAATCCTGACCCTGACCCATGGACTCAGCTTCCTGATTTGAACTTGAACCTGCCTTGGTGCTGTGGCCTTGCCTGGCAGGCACTGAACTGTGGCTGACCCTGCTCACTTTCTCCAGACTGATCCTGACCTTGAATTACTGACCTGTCTTATCACTATGGATTTGTCTGGTGATCTGGACTACTGGCTGGATCTAGGTACTGTCACTGGATTCGATCTGTTCCACCTTGTTCGGGTACTGTGGGACTTTCCCATTGCCAGTGAGGCCACTACCTTTGCCTGCCTTCCTGTCAGCCTTGGATACTGGCTTCCCCTGGCAGAGCAGCCAACCCTCACTGTTCTCGACAACAGCACAATACACTGCACTGAAGTCTGGCCATCAGTAGTAACTGAGCGCTGGGGATGCAGTGTGCTCCGTTACCATGAATTCAAAGTCTTATAGTGGTCTGCAATGACAAATTTACTTGTTACTAGTTAATCCCAAAATGTTTTTTGTGGGTTTGAGGATTTTTTTGGAGGTTGACTGTTCCACAATTCTCCTCACTAAGAACAGCGTGTAGCCATCTGACATCAGTTAAAGGGAGTAAATCATTACAGAAAACAGCTTTCCAAAGAAATGCTGAGGACTTCAATCAGGAGAGGTTTTTTCAGCAGGGAGGAAGAAGAGAAGCAAAAAAAAAACAAAAGGGAAAAGAAAGCAAGCGTCATCAAACATCACTTTCTGTTAGGAATGCAGCTACAGAAGATGAAAAAACAGCTGCAGCTTCAGCCTGGCCTAACCCAGTATTTAAGCAGTAAAAATTACTTTACAGCCACAATGGAACAACAGCCGTGCTCAAAGCCAGCTTTGGAGGGAGGCCATGATTCTCTACCTGCAAACTTCACAGCAGTGATGGAAGAAGAATGTTCATCCAGGGTCTGCTGCAGACTGTAGTCCTTTCCAGCATCCAAGACATGAATCAATCTATCCCGACTGGCTGAGGCTAAGAGCTTTAAGCCTGTCAGAAAGTTAAAAAGCATTCAAGACGATTCCCAAAAAGTCATTTGCTCTTCCAGACACTATTTTAAAACAGGTTCTCAAGCCATCTTAAGGACAAAACATTATACTGTAGCTAACTGCATGGATGGACACAAAGGAACGCCCCTGGATTTCACACTATAATAAGACAGAACAAGTTTCAATCTCAACCTACAATATTCCACGGAAAAGTATGAGAAAGGAGACTTTTTCGAAGTCTGGCCCAACACTACAAACCTGCTCTGAAATCCAGGAGCAGCTTACCACTGAAAATTCTGATACGTCATGGCTCGACACCCTGACTTGCTCAATGCTACATTCATATGCAAAAGGGAAGAAGCTCAATTGCATTTACCTGTGTCAGGTTTGGAGTACTCCAGACATAGTATCTCAGAGTCATGGGCTTCCACCTTCAGCATTTCCCTCAGAGACTGCAACTCATATATCCTAAAACACAACACGGCTGATTTCGGTACGTTTAATAAAATTAGCAAGATCTGATTTTGAATCTCACACCTGCCCAGCCCGCAATCTGCACAAGAAGCTCTATGGCATTACCTGAGAGTGCCTATCCTGTCCCCCGAGGCCAGATGCTCCCCACTGGGACTCACACAGACAGTACGTATCCCCACCTTTGTATCCATCACTTGTGCATCAGCTTTGTCTGCACTTCCCACTGAGTTGTAATCAGTGTCCAAAAGTACCTGAGTGTTGTCATCCACATAGATGATTTTCATCAAGTCCTGGGGATACAATACACCCGGAAATATTAACCAATTACAACATATTAAAGTGAAGCATCTGCCTTAGAAACTGCGCTCCTGGCCAACATATACACTTCATTGGCAGTAATGCTATAATTGGTGGAATCTGTTAGCTAGGAGGAAGCACTCAGCCCCTTCACATTGTATTATGAAAGTTTCACAGCTGTCTCATGATCACCCTTTGCAAAAGATTTCCCTTCAAACTAGAAACTAACAGCATCACCCACACAACAGACAAGCTCTGGGATTAGTGATTACAATGTAGTAGGGGACACAGCAAGAACCTGAAAGACTTCTAGGGATCATCCAAGTCAGCCCATGCCTTTTGAGAACTGACACAAAAAACAGGAGTTTTTTCCACCATGAGCAGATTACTGAGAACAGGCAGGTCAGGGCTGCTGTGCCCATGGATCTTCCAAATCTTCCAATGCAACTAAGAACAAAAACAAACATCCATAAGTAATCACTGTTCTGTATGAGTATCCTCCCTCTTATGTAGATGAAGTGAGTGTGAACTGTTTCTCATTCAGTTCTCTCAAACCTCTGTCTCATTGATTGCACCTTTTCCAAACAAATCTTAAAGTGGTTACACATTACAGAGATGTAGAAAAAGAGAAACAGCTCTCCTGAAGCATAAGGCATGAGTCATTTTGGAAGAAAGTAAGCTTGGAGAATCCTTGGGTAGTTTACGGAAAAAGCAATAGTCCCCAGGACCATTTCAGACAAACTGTCTTTCCACCTGATACTCCTTTCATGTTTCTTCAGGTTCATACATTTTACCAGTCTTGCGCTCTGTTTACAGAGAAGCTTGTGTTGACTTAGAGATCCAAAGAAGTTTGGGCCTTAATTTGGTAATACCTGTGCGTGAGGAAGAGCAACCCCAAGGGCAACCTAGGATCTTACGTTGCTGAGGATGTTGCGGTGCAGGGCTGTGCCATGAATGTTGGAGCTCTCGGTGTTCCACAGACGAATGGTGTTGTCAGAGGAGCAGGTGATGAAAGAACCAGGGGGGAGGCATGACTGATTGTTGTCCTTCACTTCCGGATACATCTAAGGGCATGTAAAATCAACCCCTGAACAAGATTGCCTGGCACCTGGCATCCTAGACTCTGGTAGTAAGTTTCAAACCAAAATGAGATAAAAGGGCTGTGCTATCTGTTTTGTAAAGGCGAGAGCCAGCCAGTTCTCCTAATGAAAACCTGTTTGCAGACCAGAGCTTCATATTCACTTCAAACAAATGCTCATTGAGCTTCCTTGAATTTAGAACATCTTAAGAAGTGTGCAACAAGCCAGCATTCTTTGTTTCTAATAGTTTAAATAGAGCACCTCAAAGACCACGCAACAACCATGCAAGAACAACCTTGCACTGTGGTTTGCAACTTTCAACTACTGTCGATTTATAATCCCGAAGGAAAGGGTGAGATGCGATTAATAACAAAAAGAGTCCTCACCCTCTTCCCACATTCTCTACACTTCCCCCTTTCCTTACCACTGTTGGACACATTTCAACATATTAACAACTACATTGTTTCCTACACCTCCTTTCCTTCCCTCTGTCCCTCTAAGGAAAAGCCAACTAGACAGACCGGAAGATGACAGCCACTCGAGAGGCTAATTCTGGATGTCCTGGTAAACAGGTTAAGAAGAATAGAGTTGAGATATACCACTTGTCTCATTCCTTTGACTTTGGAACACTTACTCACCACAGAACTCAAACAATTTTTTTTTTTGAAGTTAGCAGTCAACTTTTGTGCATTTTGTGAAAGGAGCTCCTGCATTCAGCTTTGTTCAGTTCTGCTCCTTCTCCCACCTCTCACCTTTTAATGGTGAGATTATTTTTTTCCAATAACACACTGCATCCAAATGGATTTGGTCAGCTATTGTAGTGCAGCCAAAGAACTGTTCCCAGCTCCAACTGAAGCCCCGTAGCAACCACACTAACCACAGGAGGAAATCTGAGTCAATTCTTTCTCTCTGCAGTAAGTGTTTGCATTCAAATATGGCAGCTCTTCAGATGACTTCCTCAGCTGCAATTTGCAATCCAGCACTTGTGTCTGCACACAACATACCTCAATGTTCCACACGCAGGAAGAGTGGTACAAAGCAGAGTACACCTTGCCCACTTTCTTCGGGTCTTTGACATCCCACACATACAGGCTGTGGTCATTGTACACACAGGAAAGCCACTGGTTGGTGGGGTCAAAGGTCAAGGCAATCGTGTCGGGATACTTCGCATCAGCCATACCAGAGAAAAGACGACTGCAGAAAGAGAGAACAACAGCCTGGTTAACCTGTGCTCTCTTGGAGTCAGAGCAAGGAGGTGAAGCATGAGAGCTCAGATTCTCCACAGGGCGCTGGAGAGGTGAACAACACACTAGGGCATGTATAGGTAGAGAGAGCAGCTGGCTGGAAAGACCTGTCTTGTGAACAGCCAGAGTCCCAAAAGAAGCCCAAAAGTCTCATGGCAAAAATGTCATTCTCCTTGCCATCCAACTCGGAGTCCCACCACAGACAGGTGACTGAATCTCCCTGAAGAAGGACCAAACAGGACACTTGGTCATCACTCAAGATCATCACCACTGACCCCTGCATAACCAGGTGGTAAAATCCAAGTCAAATAATCTCAAAACAAAGGGGAGGGGGAGGATCATCTTTTGGTGCGTATTATATTTTATTCATTGATTGCAGGAACTGCTCTTCTGTGGGACCAAGCAAAAGAGTAAGTACTGCACTCAAAAGACAGGAGCTCATCAGCACAAGGGACAAAGGAATGATTTATTTCAGTGGCCACTTGTCTGACATGCTTCCTTCCACCCCTGCCCCACACACAGGCCAGCTTGGTGCTGCTTGCAGCAGCTCATGAAATGGGCAACTGCATATGGGTACCATCCTTTCTAGACAGCCAAGCTCTCTGATACAAACTTAAAACCAGAGGAATTCTGCGGAACAAGGAAACACCTCTTTCCCCAGGTTAGACCAAGATCACACCATGTGAACCCTGTATCTCCTCTACGAGGGTCCTCTGTTAAGTCTTGCTGACATGCACTTAAAGAAGGAGCTGCTCTCTCGACCTGACATGAACGCAGCCATCCCACAATGCTGCTAATGATATCGAAGGAGGTCATTAAAGCCAGAGTGCCAGGGGCTTGAGAGCAGGTAATTTAAAAGGACTGAGAGACATGCAGGGATGAGGGCCAAAGCGCATGTAGCACACCAGGCAACTAGAGCTCTGATTCTGCAAGTGCAAAGCTTTGAGGGCTAGAAGAGCACAGCCCAGAGACTATTGAAAAATCAAGTCATTGATACAGTTGTGGGCACTTCATTGAAGGCAACAGGCATCCCACAGAGAGGCTCTGGCATGCATGGGAATATAAGAGGTTCTGTGTTTTCAAGCTTCTTTGGAAGTAATTAAAAATATATAATTGGTGTTAAGATTTTAATGCATGTTTAAGAATCACATCAATATTTCTGCTCAACCGATCCATGAGAGCAGCAGAGAAGGTCCATATACACAATTGCTTGACTTTAGCACTACCAGAAACTGGTAACACTTCAAATTGAGAGCTCCTTTTCCAGCTCCCTTACTGGAATATCATTATCTCCCACTGACCTTCTGGAGGAAGACTATACAGTGCACTGTTTGCACACTTACCTCAAGTTCCCAAGAAAAGTTTAGAGAAAACCTTTTGAGACATAAGGAAAAAAAAAAAAAAAACACAAACAAGAAGAAATCCCCTTCCCCCCAAAAAAAGTATATATCTGTATATGCGGAAACTCCAGATATCCAGCTGAATGACGGCTGGTGGATTCATACACCTTTGGTTTTCTTTCCCCACTACTGACAGAAGCGGAAGAGGGCAACAGAAGAAGACTGGGAAAGCCTCCAGCCAGGACTGGCAAACAGCAACACATGAAGGGTTTTCTCTAGCATAAGACTCGACAAGCTGGCAGACAGAACTGTACAGAAATCACATTACCCACCTCAGAAGGTGAGAAATAGAGAGCCAAGGCAGAAGATACTGGAGCAAGATAGGAAAACAAGACAACAGAATGCACAAGACAAGATTGAAGGAGAAGAAAGGCTACAGACAACAGTACATTTGAGTCTTTGAAAAAATGCCCCATGAGAGCCTGGATGATGCTATATAATGATGATGCTAAGAGAGGCTTCAGCCCTTACCAGTGATAAACAAAGGATGTGCCATGGTACAGGAATAACTGAAGTGCATCACAGCACCCTGTGCCCTCTATCTGCTTGCTCCAACTAATGTCAGAAGGTCACCAGACCCGAGCAATCCCAGGGAGATAAGGAGCAAGACATGCTGTATAGTCCAGCAACCAGCTTTGGGCTGTAGCCCAGCCACATAAGGCAAGACTGCAACAACTGGGGGAGATTTGCAACAGGCTGCCAATTTTAATCCATAAAAAGAGCACACTCCAGATGGCAAAGGTCTGGGGAACAGTTCTAACCCCCACAAGCCTCCCTTGCTCCCTTCCACCCTCTCCACAGTACCTGGCCTCAGTCACACTCGCGATGTCTGTTCCCAGGAAGTGTGGCTTCGGCAGTGTCGTGACAAAGTGAAGGTTCAGAGGGTTAAAAATCCGCACAGTGCCATCGGCGCAGCCACAGAAGATGTAGTCGTGATTCACAGAGATGCAGTTTGCCACAGTGGCCTGAGGAGGACACAGCACACAAGAAGGTGAATAAGCAATGCGCTCACACTTCAAAGGTCACTAGACACACGACAGGGAGAATAGCAAATTGACAGACAAAGGAGTCATGGTCAGAAGAGCTGAAGTGAAGTCGAGCCCTGGGAGTAAGGAAAAGCCTAAAAATCCATTTTTCCTTTCTGAGGAGCTTCCCAGCCAAGGTCCATTGCAGATTCCAAGTGGTTAAGGAAAAGGCCCAGTTCCTCTGTGAACCACTGTGGTGGGAGGTCAGCAGAGCTACACATTTGCTCCAGCTGAGTCTTACTCTGAACACTGTTTTTTGTTCCTCTGTGACATTCAGCACCACTGGCAGGCAAGCAGCACCTCACCCTGTTCTAGCACACCAATACATTACCTGTCACAAGGGGATAAGAAAAGGAAAAAAAAAGGATTTTCTTCCCCTCCCATTGGGATCTGTACAGATGGCAGAAAATGGAACAAAATGGAGAGTGGTGATAAGGGGATGAGTTCAACGCAAAACTTTTTTCCAACTTACTGTGAAGCTGTCTGTATTCTGAGCAAGAGTGAAAGGCAGATTTTAGAGAGGAAAGGAAAGAAAAGAAGAAGCATTTCACTTCAGTGAAAGTGTGGAAAGATTTTCCCCTTGATTTTAATACACTGGATTCTTTCAGATGGGCATCTTACATTCAATTGAAAGGAAAATAAGCCTGATCAAATTCTTAACTATAGGCCAGCCGGTTGGTTTAGAATAGCCAAACCCACTAGTACCTGGGGAACCTGCTTCTGAGACGCACAAGCCCAGTAAGACACTGCAGAGTGGGTAGGAATCAGAATCCTTTTAAAGCTCCTACTTGTCCAGGCCAAGCTAGGAGGGACAACACAGGGGTTGCCAAAGTTACATAAGGACACTGCTTTGCCAGAAGAGCAGTAGCTGTAACGCTGAGGCTTGAGAATGAAAGAGCCTCAATGATTAATAAAATCCCTTTGCCAAGAAGCAACGCTACTTTTGCTTGGCCTTCCAGAGTAAATCACAGAGTGGCAGAAGCCCAACGACTTTCACTGCTGGTGGTCCAGCATCTTGCGCTCCGAATGCCCTTATTATTTGTTGTTCCTGCTCTGTTTCAGCAGGCACAAACACTGCAGGACAGAGGATGTAAAACTCACCCTCAGCTCCACCCACTTGTCTAGCAGCCTTTTTTCATTGAATTCACAGAGCAGGCCTGAGGATGTGATACAGAAGGTGCTGTCAGCTTTTTTGCCCCTTCCACAAGCCACGTCCGCAAAGAAATTGTTCCTCAGTTCTCCAAGCAATCCTGAGCGACCTAGCAAGGGGACTGTAGCATTGACCTACCAATAAAAAACAGTTTGTTAGAAACAGAGCAAGGCACTCCAGACAGACAGACATTTTTTGGAACATCAAGCCTTGAGTGCTGAAGTGCCTCAAAGAAAGAGAGCTGCAAACAGCCTACAAAGAGAGGTGGTGACATGTTTTACTTGATGCTGACCCACTGGCTGCATAGTGTATTGAGACCATCAGTATTAGGACGTCAGTGGAACAGCATGCTATTAGTGCCACCAAAACTGCGCATCCAAATATATGACCCAGAGACAGCAGACCAATCACTGGAAGATCAACCCTTCCATGGCCAATCTGTGATTTATACCAAATGCCAAAGCAGGGTCCAAGCAGGAAGTATGAACATCTGTTCATGAGTATGCAGAAAAATTAGCATACGTGGATTCTGTCCCCCTGAGAAGAACAGAACACCTAAAAGTTTAAACACTTTAGCTGATGCTTCAAAATAACACTCACAACCTTTTGAGATGCTCATATCAACATCAAACAGCTCTCCCCACCTCTGTGCTCCAAGGAGTTCAACGACTGCAGCTCTTTTCTAGTTGTTTTGTCCTTCGGTATATGTGATATTACTAAAGAACAAGCATGCTGCTATACAACTCTAGGAGCCATGCCCCTGCCTCAGTGCAGGACAAGACAAGCTTTTGGTGACTTTTGGTGCTACCAGCCCATGGGGAGACTGAGACTTGAGAGCCAGGGGTGGAGGGCTATCCTTGAATCCCAGCAAAATCAAAGAGTTCCCACTTCCCACAGCTCACTGGGGAAAAATCCATAAGACAGAAATGCCTCTTCAGCTTGGCCTTGATGCACCTTGACTCTCACCTTGGAGGTTTTGCTGTCATCCAGGTACCAGAACTTGATGTGTCGATTTCCAGCAGTGACAAAGTAACTGCAGTCCTCTGAGAATGACACGGCTGTCACTTTACTTGAGACTTTGTTGGCTGCCACTACAATGTTTTTCTGGAAACATAATTGTTTAGATAGCTTAATTTCTTTGCTCAGAAGCAAAGGAAACCCATTTTTCAATTTTCAATTACAGGCACGTATCCAGTACAAGCGCTGCAGCAGGGAAAATACAAGGCCCAAACTATTCCCTATTCACCCCTGAATACAACCTCCCCAGCATTAGCTGGGAGCATTGATTTGGCAGATAGTACATTTGCATTAAATTCCACTTCCACATCGACTGGGATTGAGAACAAATCAGCAGGCACTAGTGCCTGCAGGAACTTGCTATCTGAGCCATGACAAACATGTTGGTTTCACACAATCACCAGGAGCTCAGAGCAAACCTATTTCCCTTTCTAAACAACAAAGGCATATGTAGGGCAGCACAAGGAGGAGCTCTCCCAGCCTCCAGGCAGCAACGAGGGCAAGGCACTCAAGGTGGGGAACAGGTATTTTCCACAGGGAAAACAGTACTAGTGCATCCATAAATTCTCTCTTCTTTTTAAAGACATGATACTTTATTGAAAGACCCAAAACACAAAAAGACCATGCCTGTATTGGAAGGGACAAAGCAAAATCTCCTACACCACAAATGTGCACCTCAAAATGTCAGAGTCTGGGAAAGGAAGAAGAACATGTCAGGAACATAAAACAGGAGTGGATGATGCCCAAGCAGAACAGTCAGATGGCAGGAGCTCCCTGTCCACAATACCAGCACTCAGTTTTCCTCCCCCTGTCTTTCCCCAGGGATTGGTAGAAACAAGAATAAAAAAGTTTTCCCCTCCGCCTGTGGTGGGTTTTCAACCATGCAGCACATGGCTGACAACAGTGCACCACCCTTCCTTTTAGGGACCCTGTTGCTTCCAGTCTTCCCAACACAATGCTCTCTCACACAAACCATGTCACTCCAAGGGCCCCATTGGACTGTGTGCTGACAGAACTGAACAAACTGGCAATAGAGGAGTCCAGGCTGCTGCACCATCACCCCCAACCCAGACTGGGGGAAAAGCAAGGGGGACAGCTATTAACATAACTTCTTTCAAGACAGTAGACAGAAAAAGGCTTAACGCCCTTGCAGACCTCAACATCCGGATTGTTGCTGTGGCCTTTCTTTAGGGAAGCAAGGGGAGCCTACAGACAGCAGGGTTTTTCTTTTCCATCACAGTCAAATGACTGAGTAAGTCTCCTAGCCAGGAAAAACAGGGAAATTGAAGCAGCAGCACAGTGGGTAGAAGAAGGGTTGTGGTTAAAAGCACAGGAAAGTGCTTCAGGAGATCTGTTTTCACATCCTGGTCTCTTATTGTTCTTTGACTTTGGTCAGGTAAAGTCTCTCTAGTTTTGGTACCCAGCCTGCAAAGTAAAGGCTAGCTGGACCTCCCGACAGTCACAGTCTGTGTATCCTTAAAGTGCGTGTTCTTCTGCACAGAGGAGTGAGATAGTCCTTACCTCACAAGCTCTTATGCACATAATTATAAACAGGAACACAGTGAACAGAAACACCTACATAAGCAAGGGAAAACAAAGCTACTTGTACTGTCCCACACATGCCATGCATTATGACCATCTCCAAGTCTCTCCTTTCATTTGTATAACTAGAAAGAACCAAAAGGCTGAGCACTCAATTTTCAACACTGACATACAAACATTTTATCACTACACGGTTCAGCTATACAAAAAAATAGCAAGGTCAAACTTCAGCTCATGCAGGAGAGAACTAAAAGTGAGATCTTAAATTACAGCACAGGAAATGTGACAAAGAAAGTAACATACTAAATGAGCACAGACTTACAAGCTGCAAGAGAAGAGAAGGCTCTGGGGAGACCTTACAGTGGCCTTCCAGTACCAAAGGGGGCCTACAGGAAAGACGGGGAGGGACTCTTTATCAGGGAGGGCAGTGATAGGACGAGGGGTAACAGTTTCAAACTGAAAGAGGGGAGATTGAGATTAGATATTAGGATGAAATTCTTTACTCTGAGGGTGGTGAGGCACTGGAAGAGGTTGCCCAGAGAAGCTGTGGATGCCCCCTCCCTGGAAGTGTTCAAGGTCAGGCTGGATGGGGCTTTGAGCAACCTGGTCTGGTGGAAAGGTGTCCCTGCCCATGGCAGGGGGGTTGGAACTGGATGGTCTTGAAGGTCCTTTCCAACCCAAACCATTCCGTGATTCTATGATCATGTGAGATTTAATAGATGCACTGAATTTTTTTTTTTTTTCAATCACTTCTCTTTTAGAGATGGTTATAGCATCTGAAGAGGTAGCAGAAGCTGAATAAGTGCTTAGGATTTCCCAATAGAGAAGACTCCAAGCCTACTGACAATAAATGTTTCTTTTCTTTTAGCGAACAGCACACACTTTAATGTTTTCTAGTGAATAAGACACAGGCTTTGTTTCCACAGAGCGCTGCCCCAACCCACTGACAGACACGGTGATGTGCATTGGCCTTCACCCACTCTATGTTCCCTTTCTCAGTCATCAAGGATGGATCAGACAAGCCCTGACACAACAAAAACAAAACAAGCCAAGAGCATCCACTACACCACAAAAGAAATCCCTGGCTGATGACAGTTTCCTTCTTCAACCTCATAAATTCATTTGTAATAAGGCTCTAAAAAAGCACAAGGCTTTGACAAGGTTTCAAAGTCCAGGCTTTTCTGGCTGGACAGCAAGATGTCACACATCTCCAAGTATAAAGAATCTCCCTTCACTAGAGTGACTTAGATCTTCCCTAAGGGATCATAGCTCTTTTCATATCCAAACTTGTCTGTGTCTATGAATGTCAAAAAACAAGGAACGGCAACAGAATTAAAGAAAAAAGCAGAAAGCAAAGTGGAACTGAAATAGTTTACAGACTGTCCACTCTTTTTAATTTAGCAACATCCCGTAGTCCACACAATCTCCTAGAGAACTTACCTTCCATGACCACACGTTGACAATCATGTCATGCTGGTAGCCCACTGAAACAATGTACTTGGAGCTGGGGGAGAAGGCCACACAGGCCACGCCATACTTGTGCTCCTGGAGCTCAGCCACCTGGGTTCGCTCAGCCACATCCCACACCCGAACTGCTGGCATGTGTCCACTCTGGAGGGGACAAAAACAGACACAGAACAGGAAACGTAATCCCTGAGGTCAGTTCTGAGAGATTCGACCACATAAATGTGGGGAGATTTGGAAAAAGATGTCTAGATGCTGCATTCACAATAGGGTTAGAGGTTCCTTTGATTCTTTAAAGCCCAGGTTGAGACTCACAACCTAAGAAGCATATGGATTTCAACAGGCATCTGAAAGAATTAATACAGTCTCCCCTGCTTTAATCCTTTCCTTATGCTACTCACAAAACAGCGAGAAACTAGAACAATACTTTTGATGCACATCCCTGATCTTTGCAATAGGAGCTCATGAAAAGGATTATAATAGATCGTATCTCTGGACACAGTGACCCAAAAGGCCCTCACATCCTCTGCTCCTAACACAGTGTGGACATCTGAGATCTCAAGGCAGGTCATGCCATACAGAAACATGACATGACTGTTGTGGTAACTATCATACACCATTTGAGGGAGGCCTCTGCAAGACTAGCTGCATCATTTCTGTCACAATGGTAATAAACTGATGCATGCTGCCTGAAAGATTATGGGCAGGGTAGTGTCAGAGAAAAAGACATTGAGGGAACAGAGCCCCTGGTTTTACGTTTGTTCTCCAGAGAAACAAAAGGTCATAGACTTCAGAAATGCCAATTTAGGACCTACTGCCAGGCAATTTCATTCTTTTGTTTAATTGTTTGTTATTAAACCAAAATAAAACAAGGTGCACAAGATGAGCTGAAACGCTGGTCAAAAATGTGCCTGATGGGCAAATCCTACTCAAGAGCCTGCTCATGATTTCTCATTGAAGTCTGTCAAAACAGTAGCTTGCAAGATAACATATCCATGGCAACATGGCAAAATAGTACCTTTTCTGATCAGTTTTAATTAAGTCATTTGATTGTGTGGGCGAAGCAAGTCTGATCATAGGGAGAAGTCAAAGCTTTAAAAACTCAGAATTGTACATGTTTTAATTGTCTTGTTCAAAAGCTTTGCCAAGCAACTGCTTGTGGCCTAGAAAAATGCTGTGGTCAGATTCAGTTGTTACAGTTCCCCCTTCTGCAAGGCAGAGCTCAGGTCTCAAGGTGGCTAGCAGGATGTTAGAATGAGTTGAAATAGCTGCTCTTCAAAGCACTTGCTGTACTTACATACATACATATGTGTGTATATGTATACATATATGTATTTCCCAGCATCTTAGTATACACCCCAAGACCTCAACAAATTGTATTTGTATTTCATCATTTAAGAAATGGTCACCAAATGTGAGCTGTGTGATGCCCATGGATGAGGAATGCAAGCCGCCATGGGGAGAAAGAAAGAAAAAAAAAAAAAAAAGAAAGAAAAATTTATTCTGGATTTGAAATGTATAAAAGACATTTAATATGTACGGTGGCCAAGGACTAAACTTCATGCCCTCCTTCCTGAAAAGCCAGCCATGCAGAAAACTAAGGTGCTACTAGGCAGAATTAGCATGAGGCTGCTAAAAGTGAGCTGGATAAAGTGAACTCAGAAAGCATTTTCCTATGGGACAGAGGTTGAACTAAGACGAGACTGCTGACACCGGCAGGGGACACTGCTACACTAAGTAATACCTCAAATGGCAGATATGTGGGAGGATACCAAAAAGAGAAATGGTTTTACAACAGGGCAAGAGGAGACATGTTTTGCAACAAGGCAAAAAAAGCTTTCAAGTATAACTGGAAAGGCTTTTTTTTTTTTTTTAATATCTGAACTTGCCATTTACCCCAATGAAGTTTCAAACTGAAAAGTCTGAGTTGTCAGTAAGAAAAATATCCACTTCATTTTTCACCACTTTTCCTCCCCCTCATGAAAAGAGTAGAGCACCAGAGATATTAAAAGAAAAGAAGACACCAGAATCATCAAAACTGAACACTAGAGAGAAAAAGACATCTATCTATTATCATTTTAATACAAAGGGGGTTTATTACATTAAGACTCCTAGAGTGTAATGAGGCATTAAAACAAATTACAGCTATAAGACCCCATCCTTTCACTAAAAAGTTAGTAACAACAAAAGTTAGTAACAACAAGTCTCTGCTCTGATGGAGAATTTGTGCTTACTTTTCCTGTGTCAAGGTAGCCTCCACCACAAACTACTGTTGTTTCTATCCTTGGCCTGATCCATACAGGATTCAGGCCCAGCTTGCAAGCCACCCAGTGACATGACAGCTGCCATCATGGTGACTGCACTAGGGACCTCTGGTGTGAACAGCTTCCGCCTTGACAGCTCTGACACAGGGCTGTGACATACTTCTCTGTGGCTGAGGCTCAGGAGGGGACCTGTTTCACATACGTTCCCTCCCCACATCTTACAGAGGCACAAAGACTTGTGGTGAATTACCATTGATCACACACAAGAGCAAACTGAGCCCAACTGTATGGGGGGCAGTCAGCGTTCCTGTGGATTTCTAACATCCAGCAATTCCAGCCTCATGACACAGACCATGTCTTGAACTTCTAACACAGAACAGACACACAGTGCACTCGTCCTTATCCTCCCCCTCAGGCATGTTTGGAAAGAGGAAACAATTGTCACCCCCAGCCATAACATATAATACCAAACCACAGGCACCAACATCTTCTGTCACTATCCTTAAAGCTCCATTCCATGGGCACTTTTCACTTTTTCCGCAACACTGTTACTGGCTTCAGATACTTCCTGAAATCCTAAAGCAACGATGCCAAACTCAGACCAAGATTAAGGACCATCCAGGTACTCTTCATTGATCCTAGAGCAGGGTCATGCTGTGTGTCCTTCCACTTATTTTCACTCTACCTTCAGCCCACAGATGCCACTCCAGAAGATCCATCCCCCAAGCTGATGAGAGACAACACACTGAAACACTGCCAGCAGGAGCACCCAGAGCCATCCATAACCCAGTAGGGCCACCCAGAGATGCAACACTGGAATAGACTCGTCTGTGTTGTTTCTTCTAACTCTCTCTGCCTTGCTTCAAAATGCAATGGACAAGGTGTGCCCTCTCTCCTCTCACACTTACCTCTCCTGTAACCAGATATTTTCCATCTGGAGAGAAAGCGAGTGCTGTAATTGTTTTCCTAAAACAGAGAAAATGACACTGAGAAGCATTTCCAACATATGATGTCATTTCAATACATCATGACTGGGGAGTAGGTTGGGATGAACTGGAAAGAGGCTAAAATTACACATAATAGCCTGACACAATGGTTTTGCTTCACCAGAGGTCTAACACTTGCCATGGGGATTTCTGCTGCCCAAGTCTCAAGCAGCCTGCCTACAGCACCAGAAAAGCCCCAAAAGTCAAGCTTCATCCTTGTGTCTTTATTCCAGATGCAGGACCATGTCCCAGTCCTGGCTTTAAGAAGGTCATAGCTTTAGGTGGAGAAAAAAAAAGGTCAGATACCATGGAGTTCCAGTAAGATCTCCTCCATGTTATGCCTATTAGCAATTCCTCATGGGACCACAATGTGTATGAGGTGATACCTCATCAGTAATAGCACCTCACATTAGAGGGAGCTGGAGTCAAACCAGCAGGCAACCTCTCCCCATGGAAGCTCTTACCAAGGGGATTTAGCCTGGAGCAACAGCAGCTCCTGCATTTCACTCAAGCCATAAAAACTTTGAATTCACCTCCCACAGAAAGCAAGCCCATCTCCAAGCTTCACTCACCTGGAACTGTTGAGAATATGGTGTTGCTTATTTTTTCTAGGGTTGAACAGCACAACAACACATCTAGGTGGAGGAAACAGAACAAAAGAGTTGACATGACCACATGTATAAAGAAAATCAAAGAGCAGCAGCAAAAGCAGCCTCAAAAAGCTGCTTCATCCCCTAATCTGACAGACTGAGCTGGGGTTAACCAGAAGTCACAAAGAAAAATAGCAGCCCAGAGGAAAATCAGAGGTGTTGATGTTGAGGAGTACCACGTGCTAGTACCACAAATAGTTACCCTTCTAGCATCTGACTGCTCAAACTGGAGAGAAAGGTTAACCATGAAAGTTTGTGCAACAGCCCTAATGGATTATGTCCCCTGCCATAAAAGTTACCCTATGTACTGGGCACCAAACCAGCATCTCTAGAACAGAGTAAGAAGGTCAGGAAGAAGGAAAGAGGGGATCTTTCAGAAAAGCTCCTGCAGGGAAAGACGGGGCAGTAAAGAGGCAAAATATCTGCGCTTGGCCATAACACTAGACAGGACAGAAACTGTTGACTATAGCACAAGAAGTGGCTGGCCAGTTGAAAAGCAAGACAGATAATGCCAAAAACTATTGATCCAAGGGACAAATCTGAATAAACAACTTGCTCAGGGACTTTGCAGAAATCTCTCAGCAAGATGAACTGCAAAAGGCAGCAGTAGTAAACTCCTGCTAAGCAACATGATCACCTCCACTGGAAGCAAAACAGTCATTTTTGGGGGGGGAGTGGAGGGAAGAAGAAGCCCCAGTTCCCCACTGGTCTTGCCCATAGCCCATTGCCTTGGTGCCTCAGCCCACCACAACCAGCCTGGGGCAGTCTCTGCTACCGGAGCCTTCCTCACTCTTCACGAACACCCTACACACAATATTTAAATCCTCATGTAACAGCATGCATCTCGTAGCAGAGAGCAGCAGTGACCAGCAACAGAAAACGCATGGCCCTTACTGCCCGCTCCCAAAAGCATAACTGTTAAGAGAATAAAAGGAGATAGAACAGCAACTGCTCTAATGACTTTGTGCCCTGTCTCTCACTTCACCTCTAAAGTAGAAATCATGGGTTTTGCCTGTCCATCTGCTAGTACATGCTGCCAGAGCTTGCAGAGTTCCATCCCCTCCTTTGCTGCAGTGCCAGGGGAGCACTGCAGGATGCCCCTGCTCCACTGCCAGCAGCCTGCACCATGCTGGGGACTTAATTCACATCACCACCATGCTAAGGCTTGCCCGCAATGTGTGCCAGGCTACAGAGATCAGTCAGAGGGAAAAACACACAGGACAGAGAAGTACAGCAGTTGGCCTGAAGCAGCAAAGCAGAAATGCAAGAACTGCAGCATCACAGAAACCTACTGCAGCACCTCACCCACAGACCTCATCAACATTTCAAGACAGGTGGCGCACGCTCATGCGCAGGACTAGGCACACCTTGGCACCATACTGCCCAGGACAACAGCTGCGTCATTCCAGGCCCGGCTCAACGTTCCCAGCAGCAGGCAGGGCTAGCAGTGCTGCAGGCACAACTCAGGGTTGATAGGGACCTGCGACGTCTATGACATCCCCTCACCTGGCCCAGGCAGCTGACCTGTTCCTTGGTCTGACCGGGCTACCCTGCCAGGAGTAGTGTAAATGTTGAAATTGAAAAGAGAGCAGAAAGGAGAACTGATGCACCAAGACCTTGAGCTCAAAGCCCTTGGCTGAAGCTGTCACGTTCCATTGACATTGCTAGCTCAAAGCGGACAGTCAGAGGCTACCAAAGCTTTAACCTCCAAAGTACCAACCATTCACAAGATATGCTCCCTTCGCCTTAGACTACTCTACTCCTCTCCACCCATACTATTCCACCCACTCTACTCCTCTCGTGCCCCACCCTGAAGGCTAAGGCAATAAAGGCACCAAACTTTCTTGATAGTTAAGGCAGCCATGGTTGGAGAGGTAATCTTGTGGAAGAGCAGGGAAAGTGTAAATAAGCAGTTTGTTTAGACCAGGATTGATCCTTCTGCTCTTTTTACCCTGGGGAACCAATATGGAGAGTTTCAAGTCAAAGCTATGCTATATATTTCTGAGGGATTAGTGTAAAGAAGCAGGTGGTTTGTGATCCATTAACAAGTCAAGGGAGGTTAAGCCTCGCAAATCATGACATATGCAATAGGAAGTTAGCAGATGTGAAAATCTGCCTAATCCCAAGCCCCTGGCTAATCAGAAAAGCAAAGCAAAACCCCGTTATGTGGAGTTGGATAGGGTTAATGGACCAAAACCCTGCTGAGTTATGACAGTGACTAATTGTGCTCAAAATAAGCTTCAAAAAACCATAAAGAATAAAGGAAAGACATGAAATCCTGGCAAAGACTTTCTTATGCAGCTCTTAAATTTAACTTTCTGGTTTATTGTGAGGACCTCTGCAGAAAAACAGGACTTCAGAGAAATAAACATAGTCTAAAAAACACAGGAAAGATGCAAAATACAACCATGGTCTTCAAACCAGGCAAGCAAACAAACCACTTCCTAGAATAGTATAGTGAACCACAAAGGTGCAGGGCTTTGCCATTACTAACTTACACGACAGAGCCTTTGACCACTTACAGTAATGAATTTTAGCTCAGTTGCACTCCGGAGAGCGCTGTCTGGCAGCAGGCTTCCTCCCCCCCACTCCCAGCCCTTGGCCAAGTCCAGAGCCCACACTGAAGGTAAGAGCCACCCAGCTCACGCATCAAGGCAAATCAACAAACCGTTCCAAGGGCCACATGGCTTCCAGTGCCAGAGCAGCCATCACAAACATGGATATTTTAACCTTAAGACAACTCTACACTCGATTCACTGAGTTTGATCCATAATTAATAAACTCTATGTGGAGGGTTGGGGGGGGAATAAATCATAGTATCTCCTTACTAGTCAGCAAGCATTGACTTATGCCACAAAAAGGTAATTTTAACTCATAGACTCAGTGAAACAAGAATGTACGTTGTTATGTTCAGTTGCAAGCTAATAACTAACATAACTTGCTAACTGGTTGGGACCTTCCACGCCAATAAAGTCATTCAGCCAGAATAAACTAGTTTTCCAACTTGCTTTCTTAGAGTATCTACTACCCAGCAAAAGCTACCCCACTGCTTTGCTGTCCCATGCCGATTTTTCACCATCACTCTGCTGTCTGCCACACACAAGGGCAATGAATACTCCAGCCAACTCCAAGGACACCTGATTCAGCAAGATGTCAGGCCACAAACTGCCAATCTCACAGCAGGACACAAGATACTGTCCTGGGAGTCAGGAGCACCCAACTCTGAAAACTGGCTCCCTCTCAAAATGCCAGGGAAGGTTTCTAGTCCACTCCATCCTAGAGAGCATATCTCTTTGATGAGCAGAAATTAACCATCTCTAGCACTTCAACCTCTTCTGAGTGCTCAGGGTGGCCTTGATTGCCTGCTCAGACACTCAAAGCTCAGCTTGGTGTGGCCCCAGAGCAGCTCTTCCACTCCACGCAGCCAGCAAGTCATTCCCTTGCAGAACCTGCAGTGGTTCCCCAAACAAGGTAGCTCAGAGCCCATCAGTACTCTGGGCATGCCCTGTTCTAACAAAGGAAATTGGTCTAGCAAAATAAAGGGAATGGAGACACTGAGTGGTCAGATCGCTGACGCACCTACTCCACACTACCTCCAAGTCCAGTAAGCCTACCAAGCCCTCAGGAGACTCAAAGTTTCTATTCCCTTCCATTTATGCTGGCTTTAATCTTTAAAGCAGTTAAAATAATAAAAATAATTACCATGCATACAAGAGCATACACCCATCTATCCATCCTCTGCCTTTGTCTGCTCCTTTACAAGACTGCACTCAGTATTTTACAGCCAGAGGGATGGAAAGGATGCAAGGGAAAAGAGCAGTGATCTTTTTGTTTCTAGCTTCCAGCTGTGAATGTAGACCAAGCAAAGTACTTCAAACCTGCACTTCTATAATGGCCACCTTACCTCTTCCACCCGCCCCACCCCTTTCCCAAATTGAAGCTTTCAAAACAAATTCAAATTCCCATGACATCTTTGTCTGAAGAGACCTTTTTAAATGCTAGTGCCAACATGCAAATTAAGACTAGCTCCAAAAGCACCTTACATGGGACCTACAGAAAGAAACACTGATCCTGGTGCACACTAGCTGTTTAGAAGGTCAACATTGTTAGCACCCTTGTTTCAACACAAACCCTACCTCCTCTGCAGCTGCAGGCAGGGCTTGATGACCACAGCATCTTTTTAATCCACAAGTATATTCTGATTTCCAAGACATTTATAGAAACTATTCACTGCTGTATGGATTACTGCTGTACAAACCATCTATCAGCCAGCTGAGATCAAGTGTCCTGTTTGCATGCCGGTTCCTGCAGAGGCCGTTGGCAATGGCAAAGATATTTAAAGGTATTATTTCTAGGTCTATGATGCCACTCCACAACCTTTAAGTACACCTTCGTGATGCAAACAGGTTTTTAAAACCACTTGGCTTTGGAATCTCTCCCAGTTCTCTTTCTTGTGGGACATTCAGTCAACCTCAAACAGAAGGGAAGGACAGAATCAGCTCTCACAGCGATGTCAAAGGTTTTTGCAGACAACCTGAGCTGTCTCCATCAAAATCGGACCATTTGGGTCAGTCAACAAGAAAGTGGTGAAAGGTTCCTTGAAGAGCCTTCCATGAAGGCACAGCCCTATCTTATACGTGCACAACTGTGCACCATATATGCAGATAAAAAGCTAGTGTTGCTTCAAAGGAGGAGGAGAAGATGGGGGAGAAGGGAATGTCACAGCAGTTTCCATCACCTCCAGCAAGAGGAAAAAACCCAAAATATTAAAAA